TGTACAACGGTTCCTCTTTCAAAACAAATTATAGTACATCAATTAATTATTATGCACTGGTATGATTATAATAAAATTTGGAAAGGAGAAACACTACGAGAGCAGCGAAAAAAAGATTCAGGTACGTGTGCCTGTTTATGACCATGATAATGAATAAACTGTGTTAACATTGTTAAGTTTATTTATATTCGCCACCGGTTGCCCATATGAGCGAGTCCTCCAGAAGGAAAATACTCATTTTATATTTTGGAGGAAAGTGCAAGACACAGATACAGAAAGATGCCATGGGCAATTCCAGATACTTCTCCTGGTTTTTTAGCATACCAAGTGTTTAAGCACTCATACACAGGATCTCGATTTTAAGTCTTATCCGACAGACTGATAAGTGATTTTAGATAGCCAGACTGGGAATGGAACCATCAATGTCGTGAATACAAGTCTCGTGTTCTTACACAATGGTTAAATGAATATACACTCTGTTCATTGCGTATGTGTCATTTGTTCATTTAGTATCAGGGTTTTATGAAGATTCGTCATAATCAATGAAAAAACAATTTTATGAATTTTACATGCCATAACAAAACCTCTAAACATGAGTGATAACTGAATATCAGAAATAACGCACTTACAATGAAAAAGGAAGTAGAAAGCTGCTTACCGGCAGAAATTGGCTTACATTCAACGCCTACACTATTTGAGACAGAGCACGTTGTGCTTTTAAATAACTTGTCCATTCTGCACATCTCAAAACTACCTTCACTACCATCACATTTTGGTTTAACAATATAAGTTGTTCTACCATTTCCATAAGTTGAGTTGTAGCTAACGACAGGGTCTGTATTCCTGTAAAATATACATGTGCTACAGCTTTAAGTGTTGAAAATTGAGTACCACTTATGCCGGTGCTAGGGGGCGTGAGGAATATTGCACTTTTTCGTTATCCTTCATGTACAGACTCAATCAAACCATGTCTGCAATTTTCATGTAATTTTGTCGTGATTTATGCTTCCGAGGAATTTCACTTAATCAAGATTTTTAAGCAAGCAGAATGGTTAAGTGATTGTCTGCAAGACAGAACAATATATTGTATGAAAATGTACCAGTATCCTATTTCTTTGCAAATGACTTTAGCATCAGTTTTGTTCCAACCGTCAGTACAATACGAATACCATGTTCCAGACTCGAGAAATTCTACACGACCTTGTGACTTTGATCTTCCATCTGCTAATCGTTTTTGATATGGATCTACAAAAAAGCGGAATATCCATGTATAATGTTGAATTTTGCATAGTGCGGTGCTAGGTGGAATGGACGGTATTCCGGACAAATTGTTGCTGGTCATAAAATATCTAATCATCCGGGCCTGTAATATTTTATTTTGTTCGTGTTAGGCGACATTAAATGGTTGCAGTTTATAAAGTTTGTAAAATGTGAGATACATAGATTAGTGAACATTATTCACTTGAAGAATAGAATACCAGATGCAATTTTAAAAATCAGAAGAACCCCACCACCTTAAAACATGTTTTTTGTTTTTTTGTTTGATTGGGTTTTACGTAACACCGACACAGTATATGTAATTTGGCGACGTTCCAGCTTTACTGTTGGAGGAAGACCTTAGGTGCCCTTCCGTACATTATTTCAGGCACGAACGAGGCACCTAAGTAGAACCATCGACGTTCCGTAAGCTAGCCGGCCTAAATCATGTACGGATATTGCATTTCATGTCGTTTTTACATGAGTAGACATAATTATAATAAACTTAAAGGGCCATAAAGCTTATAATTTGGTGTAAAGTTGGTTTCAAAAGATTTGATATTATAATGGTAATGACCCTAAATAGTAGATAACGAAAGATGCGTATGATGCTAAATAAAAACTAACTAAATTATTAAAAGACTGCACCAGTCATTTTCAGAATTGAGCGTTACCGACACATTTTGAACGATAAAATACAATTTTCCGTTGGTCACGTGGATTATTGGTTATAATATAAAGTTTAATAAAAAAATATGGCAAAATGTCAACCTATTTTTATTCTTACCTGTTTACTGGCCGTTTAAAATTGGATGATCATAAAGTCAATTAAACATAATAAAAGTTAGTACATAAGGTAAATTGAAGCAATACCATTCGTTTTGATTATTAAATCCATACATATAGAAATAACTGACTGTTTTTCGTAAAGGCACTATTTTACAGTAATTACAAATTAAACAAAGCAAAAATTTAGACACTTAACATTTTGGACCCATTAAGAAACTTTTGAAAATTATATTCAGTCATTCATAATCTATCAAAGTAATTCAATGCTTTAATGAATATTTGAAGAAAAAAACTTTTCTTACAGTCACATATTACTCCAGCATCATTGGAATGGTCACAATTAACACCACTCGACCACGACATAGAACAGTTCGAAATGTCTACCTCACTTCCGGTACATTGTACGTCTGACAACCAGACACGTCCATTGCCTCTTCCAAAGAATGAACCGGATACCGCTTTTCCTGTTACATTACTGAAATGATAAGAAACTGTTATCAAAACTAGACATGTTACAGATACTGTTTTTGATTTTAAACGATTAAAAATGGATTTTGAATAGTAGTTGAATAATTTGTAGAAAATGTTATATATGCCTTATGAAAAGCAAATTCGTTTCCTATTTTGTATGGGGAAGGTAGTTTTATGGTTTGTTCTTATCTCATATGATCAGTTTAAATAAAACCGCTTTTGGGACAATTAACTTTTTGTCTGTGTGTTTTTGTTGCTTGTTTTTCCATTGGTTTTGCAGTATCTCTTCTCCAGAATTTGATAGTCACAACTGCATGTTAAATGATTTGAGGCAGTTGTGAAAAGTTTATCCGTATATCAGTGTTGTTATATGTTTCTCGATATTTGAAGCCATTTTGTATTTCATTTATTTATTTATCTATTTTTTTAGGATTTTTAAGGCGATGCTCGGGTGCACATAAATTGAAAATTCTAAAATCTCTCAGAAATAGACTCAAATGAGCCGAGTCTGCACTTTTTTGCGTGTGTTCTCAATGCACACTTTTTCTCTGAGTATTAACAGTTATGAATTTATTGCCAACAAATCAGTATTGTTTAGTTTTAAACAATTAAAACTTAGTAATGTAAAAGAACATAATTGTGAGAATAAGTTTAATTTGGTAAGGAAAAAACTAACTTCAAATGTATACTTTATAAATACTCATGAACCTCTCAAAGGGATATGAGGAAAGCATTTTGCAAATAACAACAGCGTCATTATCATCCCAATTTGTGTCACAAACTGTGCCCCACTGTCCATTATGTAACACTTCTATACGACCAATACCTTTATGTGGACCGTCCGCAAGACGCACTTGTATACCATCTAAATTACAAAGATAAATACAAAACCAAACAAAATGTCTTACTCAGTTTATTATGTATATTAATATTCGAATAATTAGCAGCATGTCGCTGCTTAACACAAACAATATGCTTTTAAAAAACGTTGTATACATATTATTTCCCTTTTTGAGATTATCATTAATTTGTACAAACAAAACTAGTCAAAGCGCAGTTTATTTATCTGTCATAGGGCAGAACATTTACTTGCAATAGGGTTATTTATTTACCTGCCATGGGACAATTATTTATTTGCCATATGACAGTTTATTTACAAGTATTGCTTGGCTGTATTCCTACTACTTAGCACTCAAAAACCTACTACATGTATCACGTTCTATAATATGATACATTATATCAGCAGTGAAAGAAAAATGGATGTAGTCACGACAAAACTATACCAAACATACGACTCATCAAATCATATGTTTAATGGATATATCTTTTCTTTTAATCATGAAAATCGAAATCATGAATATAATGATTTTAAAGTAAATTCAGGTTGTAATAAGATTGTAAAAGTTGATATCATTATGCATAGCATACCACATTTCAAACCAACTGCATTTGAAGCCGAGCACGTGGTCTGGTAGGAAGAGACACACTGAGTTATGTCCTTCTCATTTCCGACACATTTAACTTGATCAAGAAAGCCAGTTTTAGTGTCGCCGAAGTAATTGGACTGATATACGTAATGTTTCACGTCACTGAAAGATAAAATGACATGTATTTATAGAAGAATAGAAGATCTGACCAACAAAATACTTAAGGTTACGTCAACAAAATATTCATTTATGCAAAGTTCGCCGTTTTCCATATGCAAGGAATCATCAAAATTGTTTTGTATCAATGTATCTTTAGCATCACTTGGAATTTCTCCAAGTATAAAAATCATGATACATGTATAACAAAAAACTAAATAAGAAACTAATATAAGAATACCTTCATATTCGTTTTTTTGTACAGGATATATGTTTTGTATTCAATTGCACGGTAGCAAAATGGTGGATGTTTTAAGGGTCCGATGCGTAATTTTATAATCACGAGTAAAAAGTATGATGGCAGTTCGACACATATGTGCTGCATTGGCACGACAGGTTTTCCTTAACAAAATAAACGCATTTCATATTAAAGATAAAGTAAATTAAGATTACGTTAAATTGTATCCGAGCATGTTACATACAACACGTGCTTCGTTCTGTCCAAAGTATGGATCACAAACTGTTCGCCAACTTCCCTCGTAATTTATTTCCAATGTTCCATCCCAATCTCCCGAGCCACCGAAAAGGCGAACTTTTGTAGCCTCTGTCAAATTTGTTGTCAGTAGACATATATAAGGGTTAGATAAATTTCAATTTGGCATTGTTTGACAGTTTAAATGATAGTTGAAATAAAATTCACAATAAAGATGTCACATTAACGTAAATTGTTTCTTACTTGAATGTAATTTTATACGTATAACTAGTATGCTCATCTTTCTTGAAAGTTTAGATATAGCAATAAAATGTTAACAAGCAAAATAGATGTAAACTAGAAATGTGTCATCATGCCACGGATGCCCCCGCATGCAGCCAAAATTTCAGATGGTGCTTTAATTATTTTTTTCATTTTAAGTTCAAAGCCCTAAAAACTTTTCAATGTTAACACAAACCATTTTCATACAATGTTCAAGGCACTGAAATTATTCAGTCTAAACCTTTTAAAAATAGCATATTGCATAATGGTAGCCAAAATAATGGCTAAAAGTAAGAGTGCTGAAAGTGAAAGTTCAAAATTTTTCCAACATTCAGGAAAGATAAGTTTGTCTTAAATCATTGAACTACAACCAAATTCAAACTTAAACTGCTTATTCCTAAGATGTATCTATATTTTTTTTCAAAGTGAAAGGGACATAACTCTGCCAAAAAATCATCAAACCATGACCAAATTCCAACTTGACCTGCCCATTCCTTTGACATATCCATATATGTCAAATTTAAGTTGCATATGTAACACTGTTGGGTAGATAATGAACAGAAACTGTAAATTTCATATTATTTTCAAAGTGAAGGGCATTACTCTGCCAAAAATCATTGAACCATGACCAAACTCGAAATTGGCCTGGGCATTCCAAAAACATATCCATATGTCAAATTTGAGTTGAATGTGTTGTACCATTGGGGAGATAATAAACGGAAACTGAAAATTTCATATTACTTTCAAAGTGAAAGGGACATAACTCTGCCAAAAATCATTGAACCATGACCAAATTTAAACTTGACCTGCGCATTCCTTCGACGCATCCATATGTCAAGTTTGAGTTGAATGTGTTGTACTTTTGGGGAGATAATGAACGGAAACTGAAAATTTCATATTATTTTCAAAGTAAAAGGGGCATAACTCTGCCAAAAATCATCGAACCACAACCAAATTCGAACTTGACCTGTATTTTCTCATGACATATCCATATGTCAAGTTTGAGTTGAATGTGTTGTACCGTTGGGGAGAAAATGAACGGAAACTGAAAATTTCATATTATTTTCAAAGTAAAGGGGGCATAACTCTGCCAAAAATCATTGAACCACGACCAAATTCGATCTTGACCTGTATTTTCTCATGACATATCCATATGTCAAGTTTGAGTTGAATGTGTTGTACCATTGGGGAGATAATGAACGGAAACTGAAATTTCATATTATTTTCAAAGTAAAAGGGGCATAACTCTGCCAAAAATAATCGAACCATGACCAAATTCGAACTTGACCTGTATTTTCTCATGACATATCCATATGTTAAATTTGAGTTGAATGTGTGCAACCGTTCTTAAGATAATGAACGGAAACTGATGATGACGGAATGACAGAATGACGGAAGGACGGAAGGATGGAAGGACGGAAGGACGGAAGGATGGAAGGACGGAAGGACGGAATGACGGAACAGGGTAACACTATATGCCCCGGCCATTACATGGCGGGGGCATAAAAATGAATAAACACCTGAAACACAAAAGGAAAGGCGTTACTGTCATAATTTAAAGATTTACAATTATAATTTAGAAGCCTAGAAAGACATCACCCACTCACCGCATTTTACTGATACATCATTTGTATGGCTACAAGTGTGATTATCCCAGCTTCCATGACTACAATACTCGATATCTGCTTCACTACCAGAGCAGCCCAAGGTGTTTAACCAAACTGGCCCTTGCCCTCCTGTCACATTCCTATGAAAGCTCAGGGCGCTAAATGGAAAGCAAAACTATTTTACATAATATTCCAAGTTGTGACACTACCTAGACATGGAATAAATTCTGTAACTATAGATAATATATTAAGTTGCCCTTAAAAACTCATTATTATAACCGCAATGTAGTAAAACTGTTATAAATATATATAAGAATGTTTTAGTAAAATTGTCAATATTTAAGTATAAATACATAAAAGATTGATCATAATTACTGCACGTTTATGCTATAGTTATTTTAGAATTAATAGAAAATACAATATATGGTGCTGCTCTTTTTTACTAAAAGAACAGAAAAATTAGTTCCTTATTCATACAATTGTAAGCATTTAAAAAAAAAAAAAAAATCTATAAATAAATAAATAAATAAATATTTGACTTTTGCTTAATTTTTCGCATCTAAAAATATCATGTAAATGTTTACTTTTTACTAAATCCAAGCATATGGCAAACAACATTGGCATCGTTTTGTGTAAAGTGAGCCCCACACACTGTTCCCCAAACACCATTATGATGAACCTCTACTCGACCCTCTGATGGAAGTATATTGCCGACGAGTCTTACAGATGTGTGATCTGTTTTGTGTAGAAAGTAAGTACGATAGAAACAGTAAAAAATGACATGTTTTAACATGAAATCATGAGTTTTAATTATAGTGACTTAAATTGATAAAAATCTGATTTCGATAAAAAAATGAAATATTTTTGTTCTCTATCCGAGTGTTTATTTAAGTGTCAACGAACTTTCTTATTAATTTTTTTTATGTTTGAAATCCAGGAAAAGCAGGTTAAACTTCTTTAATAAGCGATAAAACCAACTAACTCTTCAAACAAACAGGTTTTTTAATAATCAACATATTCTGCAAACCTCCAATCTGTATAATAGGAAATTAAAGGACACAAGCTCTTACCGAAGACGTTTTTAAATTCTAAAACTTAACGTGTTTTAAATTCTTCTGAAACGAAATTATCAAGCAATTCAAGTCGTAGCTTACTGCTGCATATTACTCCGACCGAGTTATTATGACTGCATGCTGTATTGTGTTCAAAGGCTTGGGTAATTTTACTACAAAACCGTACATGAGATTCCGTGCCCGAACACCCCATATTTCCTGTCCATATTGTCCCGTAATCTAACTGTCCATAGCGAGATCCATCTACTACAACTCTATGTAACAAAACCAAATAGAAACAATCCTAAAGGGCTTTTTCAGATATTTATATGCAAGGGTCGAACTATTTTTTAAGAACTGTGTAACATTTGATGTATGTATGTATCTTCTGTGCAAAATTTCCCATTGCAAATCGTTTGCTCACTCCGCTTTTAAGAATAATCATTTTAATTGTGCGAATATTTTCATCCATGAAACATTTTTAAACGATTTTAACAAACATTCGGGCTAGGAATTGCATAAAAATCTATTTTCATTCAATTCTGAGTATTTTTTATAATCTTTTGTATACATACTCTCCCGTTTCAAGTATTATATGAGAATTTTACATGTTATGTTTTTAGGTTTTTGAAACTTGGTTCAGCTCAATTCAGTTTCAGATTTCGAACAAGGCATGCTTATTTTGTTGGTCAAACCGAATCCATTTAAAAGTAGATATCAAACCGAATCTATTTAAGAATATTATGCTCATCGAAAGCTCTATGGTTTACTTACCCGGTTGAAAAACCTCTCATTTTACAAACAACAGTGGCGTCATTGTCTGAGAATGAATTACGGCAAAATGTTCCCCAATTACTATTATAATTGAGGTCTAAGACACCTTCAAAATTACCAGTACCTCCAATTATCCGATGAGAAATATCTGAAATAGCATAGGACATTTTCTTGGTCTGTGTGAACTTACAAGGAAAAGCATTAAAATGATTAAAGCAGATGATTGTGAATTGATAATTGCATAAATAATTCTAGTTTAATTTAAGTTATCATCAAACGTTGATTAATGCTTCAGTGTCAAAATGGATAAGAATTAGAACATACACAAGTTGAGCCGTCCGGTTAGCTCAAATGTAGAGCTTTGGACTGTGAATGGGGGGGGGGGGACGGGTTCAATTCCCGGATGGCGCAGGTCACTTTTGTTGTTATTGATCATTAAATCTTTTCTACGATCATTCGAACTGTACCTCTGCCCTGGCTTAAGAAAAAGGTTTCAGTTTCTTGCGAAATTGGAGGAAACTTATACTGGTTAACTGTTTGACAGCCTGTCCAGGAACGATGCTGTGACTGAACTGCGCTCTGGTAAATTTAAAGTGGCTTACTGTCGTGATCCGGAGTGAAAAATACCAACACAATCACACCAGCATAAACAGGTTGTATGTTCCCTACGATTGTACATATTCTATGCAAATTTGACAAGATGTTTGTTTAATATATATTATGTAATATTTGACGTAACGAGTCAACACGTGCGTTACATAATGATTAGGCGGGTGCGATTTGTTAATTCTAGAATTATTAGTCGCGGGTCCGAAGTTATTCTTAATCGAACGATTCCGTAGCTCTTCATTAAGAAGACATTCAAAATGGCGACGGAAGGTTCACACACAAACATACTACATTGGGCGCCATACATGTTAAGAAAGCATTATGCAAACAAAGGGTATATTCAGCCGTTGTTATTGCTGCAATTTCTTTCTTTCAGCAAGGAGTCTTGTAAAACTTCTTGTACCATCTTTGTACCACGTGACTGCTCTTCTAATTCTGTGTTTCCACTCGGTCGAAGAATTGATTCCGAGGATTTTATATAATAGAACGGGTCACAAGTCACAAGTCGAAAATGCATATGTGACTTCATGTTTTAAACAAGCTTTTTAACTAGGAAACAGCAATTGTTGTCGTATGTTTACTTTTTAGATGTGAATCGCCATGTTGGCTAAAGAAATACGGATATCGATCTTTGTCATCTTCAGAGAGTGAGAAAAAAGAGCGTTTTGTTGTAGTTGAATAACATCAATTGAAATCGTTTACATAATTACATGTATTATAATAATCCTTCTTTGTTTCGTATGGCTAGCCACTTCCTATATCTTTTGATATTAGAATTCAAATTCGTTTTACCGCACTTATGAGAAAGGTATGTTTGTACTATTGATTAATAGTCACGTTTACACTGCCACTCTCCCTTTGCAAAGGTTCTGTTCCATTTCAAAACAATTATTATTATCATTGTTTCTGACATTTTATGGTTATCAAGTTACTAACCATATTCACAAAAGCTGCCTCCAAATCCTGGTCGACATGAACAAGTATTACTGTTCGATACTTCGTTGCACGTGCCTCCATTTCTGCACGGACTGTTCCGACAATAATAACCGCCTGAAAAACACTAATCAAGATATCCAAACAATTCTTAAGAAAGAATAATTTACAGCGCAAAAAGTGATATTAATACATGGAAAATGGCCTATTATACAGAAGAGATCAAGAGATCTCAATTGTAACATGTTTTTGACTATCAAATTTACGTTAGCTTTATATAAAAATATGCGCTTGAATTCATCCTCGTGAGCATATCTTTCGAAATGGATAGGATCAATTATTCCAAAAATATGGTATACATTGTACTGTCAAGTGTAAACAAAAAGACATATTTTACACCGCTTTAAAAGTCAGCAGTTTTATAGTTACGTTAATTTCATATGTTACTAAATATTAAAAGCTAGTTAAATGATATTTTTGTAACATCTTATAGACCCTTTCATTTTTAAGCGATACCAGTCAGAGAAAAGTTACTTGCCTTACCGGATGTGACGTAAATGGGGGATAAAACTATCAGGCCGCATAGAATTTTAGCTTGTTGAAAAGTTAAATGCGTAAATACTGATCGTTTAATTATGATTAAAAACATGTAAAAATTTACGCATGCAAACATAAATTCAATATCAAGAGAATAGAAAAAAATACAAAAACAAAGATTGAGATTAACTCTCGCTACGGAGTGAAACAGCGAAATTTCAAAGTGAATACATGTATATTTGTGAGATCTAGATTTTCTCTATTGCTAGGATAAAAAGCTAGTAACTAAATCAAATTTTAATATTTTATAAACACCCATACACATAGAAATTGCCTATTATAAATTTAAATGGTCATTTTCTAGTTTTCTGTGTTATTTTCTGTCATTTAGAAAATTCCGGTGTATTTGTGACAAACATGAAAATAAGATTGCCAATGTCTTTTAATGATTGTTTTTCAAGCTTTAATAGAACAATAACATAATGCATTCTGTCAATAATTACTGATTCTTTTTCATCATGCCGTATAAAAAATATTTCAAAGAACCAGTGAAGGATATAGTTTTATAAATATTCCGGAAAGAACGAAAACCATGTGGCATTGACTTTTATAATTTTAGATTCGCAACAGACGATAATAAGATAATTTTGATATTTAAAATCTATTCTTATGGTTATAAAAATAAAGACCTTTTCCCAGTACTTTATTTCATAGATAAATGTATTATTTATATATAAGCGCCACTGGGCCGTAACATATTAATTAACAGGGTGCATATGATGTACATGTATATACAAGCGGCACTTGGCTGTGATATCATAAATCACCAGGGTGCTTTTGTTTAGGAAATAGATATCATTTCTGAGTGCATTGTTGTAGAATAATGCACGGTTTAAGTTCAAATGCGTAGTAATATAATCACGAAGGCCGATAGGCCTGAGTGATTAATTACAAAGTATTTGAACGAAAAACGTGCATTATTATACAATAATGCACGAATAATTAATATCTATTTCCATTCTAACACGTCAAGAAAAAATATAATTATCATTTTTTCTCATCAGAGTTTCCAAAAGAAACGTTCTTAAAAGGCTGTTCAAGTCGGTTGAAAAAAATGTCGTTCCATCTACCGTGTGTAGAAACATTTTCAAAATAACGAATTTTAAAAACGTTGATAAAATTTTGTATGTTTATTTAATTTCAATCTATAATTTTTCAAGCGAAAAACAAATTATTAAAAGTGGAATAAATTCAAAACTTAACTCGTTTGCGACACTAAAATAGCGTATTTGATTTGATTGTTTTGCACGTGCTGTTTGGCGCTACATTGTGACGTCACGTAAACAACACTTTAAACGTCTGTACAGCGTTAACGACTGGATTAAAGATATTGGTGTTCGGATTCATTTTCTAAGTTAGACCATTTTCTTTCATTCTAGATAGTTTTCACAACAAAAATCGACAAAAAATGTTTTTATTTATCAGATTTTTCAAACAAAATGGCGCCCTCAAATTGAAAATACACAGGGAGATAATAAGAACGGCGAGTGCATTGTTGTAGAATAATGCACGCTTCGGGCCTTCTTTGTTTATATAGAAAAAATTCCGATAGTGTTAGAATTAAAGTTATAACATGACATCAGATTACGTCACTTTTGTTAGTTGTCAAAATATTTATGGCCCGAATTTTGTTATGGATCATCCTAGGGACTTTATTGGTCATGTCTTACTGATTTGATACTCGATCAAGAGTTCTACCAACTGGCATGTTGTAGTCAAAAATACGTAAAATTATAATTCAGTTACTTACGAATTTCTGTGAACGTGTTTCACAACTTGTTTTTGTTTTTTGTGATTGTTTTAAATATCTGATAAGCAGAGTATGAATTAAAAAGTATCAAGTTGAAAAGTTACTTACGAATTTCTGTGAACGTGTTTCACAACTTGTTTTTGTTTTTTGTGATTGTTTTAAATATCTGATAAGCAGAGTATGAATTAAAAATTATCAAGTTGAAAATATTACTTTACCAGCTTAAATATATTTGTGTGATGTACGATTTTTTGAGAGTGCATTTTTTGCCATACAGTCATGTACATTCAAAAGAATTTGTACTTTTTATGCCTTTACATTTTTTTTTGAAACTTCATAGATTTATATTGTTGTTTTTCTTTGTCTTAGTAATGCTTAAATCGAAATGATTTTTAATAAACCAGTATCTTGCAATTAATTATTACGCAGCCGTTTTTAGAAACTACAGAATCCTTACATTTTTGAAACTCAAAATATCTTTTGGGTGTATATTAGCAGAGACATAGATACATTATCTATATCTCTGGTATAAGCAAGTTAGTACGATTTAACTGCCTGGTAAAATTTTCATTATTAAGAATCTAACGAAAATGGTAATCATGATCAGTTACCCAGCAATATGGTCTACTATTAAAACAAATCGTAAACCTTATTATAGTAAACATTTTTATTCATTTCACTATCCTTTTTATGTAATATCTTATTTAGTTTTTGGCAATTTCAATCTGTCAATCTCACAAGAGAAATTATTAAGATCTTTATATCCCTCTATTATTGTACTTTATCATATCGGTATTGTTCACCGTATCCCCCAATGACGTCATCCAAGGGCGACAACTTGAATACGGTCTTAAATGAAAGAGTGTATTCGCCTCTCATCTTCTGTCTGGCATATTTCTCATTTTGTACATGAAACGACAATGCTAACAAAAAATGCGTAATTGGACAAATGATTAAATACTACTAAACGAGAAATATTTCAGGTGAAAAAGATTTTCTGAGACTTGTTCATTTATTGCTTTGCTTATCGAAAAATCACTTACATCGAACTCCAGCATCTTCATGATGTCCACAGTTGTGAGTTCCCCATCCTCTGTTGCCGCAATTAGCTATATCATTCTCAGATCCGTCGCAGGAAAGGTCATCTAACAATATTTGGCCGCTTCCTTGTCCAAAATGTGCTGATTGGTACGAAATTGCACCTCTTTAATAGATAAAATGAATAATAGAAGAATAACTATAAAAACAAATATAAATAACGTCAAATATGTGTGGAATATTTTTACTAATTTCAGAGAAAATGAAGTTATTTTGAAGTGGTGAGAATCTATAAAATATGAAACGAACAGTTACCTTGTAGAATAACCCAACATTCTACATATCACTCGTGCTTCATTATGGGCAAAATCATCATCACAAATTGTCCCCCAACCGTTATGGTAAATTTGAACAGTCCCTTCCCAGCTGTAACTTCCTCCAACAAGACGTACTTGAATTAACAAAAACAGATTTAGATAAACATGTATCATGCTCAATGTATTAATTTTTGTAGTTAAAGATCATGTATGTTTTGTAATTGAGATTGCATATATTTTTTTTTTAAATGCGTTTATCTAAGGTCGCCGCCGGAAAGCCCATATGGGCGACCGTACACTCAAGTCGGGCAATCCTAGAGCGTCCCGCCGAGATTTTTTTCCAGCTTTTTTGGAGGAGGAAGACCCCAGGTGGCCCTTTGGGCATTATTTCAGGCACAAGCGGGCACCTGGGTAGAACCACCGACCTTCCGTAAGGCAGCTGGATGGCTTCCTCACATGGAAGATTTCGACCCGAGTGAGGATCGAACCTACAGCGGTCAGGGACCTGTGATCGCAAGTCAGCGACCTTAACCACTCAGCCACGGCCCCTTGAGATTGCATACCACTCTTCATTGAATTATATATGTATGTAATTATGCAAATTTGTCAATTTTCAAACATGGAAGAATATGTGAAATATGTATTGCAAATATTTGTACATATTTAAGGTAATCATTAAATTATATGCATTCATTTCTTATTGGAAAAATTGACTTAGAATTTATAGAAAACTAAATTCTAATTACCTCCCTTTATTTACATGAAATATTAAATTCGGTAATATCTTTATAAATAATATTTTTTGAAACTTACAATATCGATAAATCTTAATTTGAGCATCATAATTTGTATATAAAACCATGAAAATAATGTGTTACAGGATCTTTAAAAAATGGAGTAAAAACCACTAAAGTTTATTCCATACAAGTCAGTCTAACCTTCCCCATGTAAGACAAGTCGCAAGCTTTAGAAGATGTCATTTCCGCTGAATTGCGTTTATAAAATGACATCCTTATGCCGTTATGAATGAAGTTGTTAATTCATTCGCAACAATAAGAAACAAGAGGGCCATGATGGCCCTGAAGTCGCTCACCTGTATATAAGCCCCCAGAGCGGGGCCAGTTTAAACCCTAGAGCTTTTATTTGAACAAACTTGGTAGACTTGGAGACACTCACTAGAAGATGTTTCATGCCAAATATCTAAGCTCTACCACTTTGGGTTTTTTAAAAGAAGATATTTTAAGATTTTTCTATCCGTTGCCATGGCAACCAGAGTTCTGCATGGAATAATTAAATTCTTTGAACACTTTTTAAAGGTGACCACCAAAGGAACATTCCTGTGAAGCTTGGATGAAATTGGCTCAACGGTTTATGAGAAGATGTCATTTAAAATAAAAGTTTACGGACAAGACGACGGACGGACGGACGACGGACGGACGCCGGACGAAAGGCGATCACAAAAGCTCACCCTGTCACTTTGTGACAGCTGAGCTAAAAAGAGTGATAAACGAAAATTTTAGTTTTCGTATTTTTTTGTCCCGAAATATTATTTATATATAACATGCATGAAAAAGAGTTAAACACCAGACGGGAATATCAGCAGAGCTCCGTTACCACCGTACAAAGTTACCTTCGAGCTAGATATTTCCGGTCTGTATCGGCACCAGATGTAAGATCCTTTAATTGTGCGCATAAGTTCACATTTTAGTTTGCAATAAGAAAGTGCTCCAGGTACTGCTTATTAGAAGCATCTTAAAACATTTGCAAGCATACCCTTATTATTTGTACGTTTGTTCTTAAAGCATGCAATCTATCAAAATCCTTTAAAAGCTCAGAATATTTTATGCATTTAATCAATTTGACTTTGATTTTAATTTTCTGTAAGAATAAAAAATAAAACAGAAGCGAAAGTTACACATTAAAGTTTGCTTGGAGCTGTTTGAATGCGCACATTATTTCATATCTTTTTCTTCAAATGTAGTATGCAACATGTAATCCCCCCCCCCCTGGCCGAAAGACAAAGTAACCATACTGATTGCCTTGCCATTGCCTTAAAAGAGTGCAATAATAGTATTTCATGTGGACGTTCTATTCGCTTGTGAGAGGATAATTTCTCAGACATTAAAATGTCCTATTTATCAGTAATTTCACCTTTCTTACGTTATACGCTTATATTGTTGAAAACAATTACCTGAGGTTGCCGAGCATTGCAGGAAACAAGAAGATAGTAGAATATACACCTGAAAAGAAACATATCATTTAGTCGCAAAAAAACAGCATAACAGACGTCTTCTATTATTAAAATTATATTCTTATCTTTGAATTATCCTATCAAATGTGTATGTGCACGGTGTAATAACAAGAAATAAAGTACGATACGGTATAGCTGATGGTATGGAATTGTACATTTTGATATACCTACAATATTGTTGCAAATGCATTCATTTATCGTGTGATTATGTTTTTATATGTTCTTACGATTTCTTAGAATAAAAACATAATTTATCTTCGATTCGACGGGGCGCTTACAAAAAAATCTGTCCGATTGGGAGCATTTTACAGGTGCGTGATGGCGTAGTATCCTACCATAGTATTTTGCTAATCATAGCTTTAGTTTATTTTCTTCGTTTCTTTTTTGAAAAGTTTCTTCATAAGTTATCTTAATATGTACTAACATAATGCTTCAAACTGTCGCTGATACTGATGGATTATTCGACATCATACAAGCCCAAATAAACAAAATGAGAAGAAATGTTATGCATACGAATAGATAAATTTTTAATTGGGAAATAGTCCAAATTTGTAAAAATATCTTAACAATAGAACAGTTGTATACATATAATCATTATGCTGATAGTATTAAGGACAAAAAAGGACGTGACAAAAAACAAAAAAAACAAAAACAAAAATAAAACACAAACGAATTTCATATTGATGTTGTTGTGAAGTAGTGTGATACATGATCAGATAAATAAATTGTTCTAGGACACAATATTATTTTTATTTTTCATCATACAAATGTTTATAATCAATCACTTCGAATTAGACCAATATTTTTGTTCAAGAAAATATTTTGTTACAATATCCAAATGATAAATTTCTATTGTGTTTGTTTGTGTTGTTGTTATTGTTTTTTTTTCTCTCCAGTATTTATCAATATTTGACGTGCTTATTAAACATGTGCCAACTGTAGACCAATCCACTTTGACCTGTTAGAGAATATGATAAACAGATGGCACATCTTCAAACTTATTTAATTTTATAACTTTAAACTTTTATATTAATTAAATTACTCACAAAAATATGTGTCCACATAGCCATGATAACAGCGAAATATAAGATGTCCCACTTTATTCTGCGCGCGCAGGCTAATAGGGAGCGTCAAAGGATAGCGATTTAGTATCACGTGACTTGTGCAGAAGCAAAAAGGTCATTTTTATCTAAGGGACAATTTTCGCGTTTAAAAAAAGTTGAAAAGTGAACATTTAACGTAAGTTTCTTTATTTAATATTATAGATATAGTTTTTGTTTTGTTTAGCATTGAATATTTAAAATGATTAAGATGAACTTTTTGCTACGTATTTGAAAAATAATTACATGACAGCATAAATACGAGACTTGTTATGGTCAGAATATAGAGCTGTCAATAGCTAGTGTTTTTATTATTATTATTATTATTATTATTATTATTATTATTATTATTATTATTGATAATTTAATGAAATATGAACACAAAATGAATCACAAACAAATCAAAATTTACACTAATGATAGAATGGTATAAAAAGGAGCTTTGTCGAACTAGAGTTTAGTCACCTTTTAGTATAAGTATTGTATCATTTCCACTTCATGAATCTCGAATGCAGCTTCATGAACATACTGAATTCGTGATTTAACGATTCAAGCTTCGTGTATTCGGTATTTCAACTGAATTTAACTTCACCAATTCATTTCTGAACCTAACGATTACAAATTCGTGATATTCAAGTCTTGAAATAATAAATAAGTGAAAATGAAGTTCCGAAAACCTGAATTCGTGAAGTTGAACTTGTGAATTAAAAAAGTGAAGTCATAAATTCGTGAAGTCCTCATCGATTAAACTTTCATTTGAATGACTACTGTTTTAATCCTGATAAATGATACCATTTTTTTACTGTTATGATTTTATCACAGTGCATATACAAAGGGAGGTAATAGAATAGACATACAGATTTTATTTTCGTCCGTAACCTCGGATTCACTTAATATTTCGCACTGTGGACACGGGCTTTAAATGTGTACTCGTGCCTCTGCAGATGTTAATGCACGAAAAAAAAACATTAACCCTCTATTATTTTATCATATCGTTACCTCTTAAAAAACGTCATAACGTTGTTGTTTTTGAATTGATTATAACATTATAATTCAATTATAATATCAATTTAAAAAGGAAAACGCCCATGGCGCCTGGAACCTAAATTTTGTATCTTATTTTAATCACAACACTTCGGTGCAGTAACTTAACTCTATAAATAACAAAACTTTAATCTTAAAGTTAGCAACAGTTCATATTTTATCGAAAAGGCACTTTAAATATTTTATCAAAAATAGTTTTATTTAAAGAAGTCGAACAATACCATCAACAAATGGATGACAAGACGTTGCCCTCCGAACAATCAACTTTAAAACTCTGCTAGGTCATTGTCAGCAGAGCAATGGCTTTGACATTAAAAGAAATAAACATTTTTTTTCAAAAATGATAAAATCTAAAGTATGTCAAATTATTTAGTTCGTGTAAAAGACACGATTGTTTCATGAAAAACAACAGATGTAGTTATCTCATGCCTTATCTAATTCTGGTTCTTTCGGTTTCTGTTAAAGGTATGAAATAATTTGAACTAACTTGAACTAATGTGAATATTACACCTTTAGCCAGATTGCCGATATAAGCTTTGCGTCATCACCTCTTTTAAATGTTGATAATTATCTTGCAATTCTTGTTTAAAAATAAAATAAATAAAAATAAGTAAATAAAAAAAATGAATAAATAAAACTCTTATTTTTTTGCACGAATATGGTTTCACAGGATGAGAAAAATGTTTAGCCTGACCGGGACTCGAACACTGGACCATCTAAATACCGTTCTGCGAGTTCTCCGACTGAGCTATCAGACCGCCCCTAAAAAGTGAACTGTTCTGAACCGTGATAGTAGAATTTTATGCGTCAGGCTATATTAATTATATGGGTTTTCTTGGCGTCAGTTTGTGTAGCTTAAGGCAATAAATGTATTATATAATGTTAAAGCATGGTATGCTAAACAAAAAATTGAATTTTCCCCCAAAGTTTTCATTTCTTTATTATTGTTGTAACAAAATACATGAAACATTTTGTGTGAGCTCAACACCTAGTTATAAATGCTTTTGGTAAGTTAAGCATACACGTTGTTTGTTGTTTTTCTGTAAATATTTACAATCTATGATGGTAATTTTTATTCTTATACTTCTTTCACGTTAACTTCTAAACTTTCTTATCTTGTTTTTTTATCTTTACAGTTTACAATTCTAATTATGTTATTTTTGTTCATCATTTGGATCCATGCGTTTGTAAATGTGTTTTTTGATTCGTTGTTTTTGCTTGTTTTTTGTTTTGTTTTGGTTTTGGGTATGAACATCATCATGTAAATGTGTTATTTATTTGAAATTCATTTATATACAATTACATGTAAATATTATAAAACTATACATAACTTTATTCTATTTCTAGGACATGAACCTATTGCTGTGTCTGGCACGCTTTTTGGTGGGTATACCTTACAGACACTTCCTGTTGCTAAAAATACTCTTTAACTTACCTCGTGGGATACCCACGGTCGAACCATTAAACATTTATCAGTACATGTTAATCAACCGTGGATATCCGGCGATGGTTAACCTCCATCGTGGGATACCAACAGTCGAACCATTAAACATTTATCAGTACATGTTAATCAACCGTGGATATCCATCGATGTTTTACATCCATCATGGGAAACCCCCGGCCGAACCATTAAACATTTATCAGTACATGTAAATTAACCGTGGATATCCGGCGATGGTTAACCTCCATCGTGGGATACTAACAGTCGAACCATTAAACATTTATCTGTACATGTTAATCAACCGTAGATATCCGGTGATGTTTAACTTCAATCGTAGGATACCAAAAGTCGAACCATTAAACATATATTAGTACATGTCAATCAGCCGTGGGTATCCGTCGATGCTTAAATTCCATCGTGGTATACCCATGGCCGAACCATTAAACATTTACAAGTACATGTAAATCAGCCGTAGGTATCCGTCGATGCTTAAATTCCATCGTGGGATACCAACAGTCGAACCATTAAACATTTATCAGTACATGTGAATCAACTGTGGATATACGGAGAAGTTTAACTCCATCTTGGGATACCAACAGTAGAGTCATTAAACATTTATTAGTACATGTTAATTAACCGTGGATATCCGGAGATGCTTAATTTCCATCGTGGGATACCCATGGCCTAATCATTTAACATTTATCAGTACATGTTAATCAACCGTGGATATCTGGCGATATTTAACCTTCATCGTGGGATACCCATGGCCGAACCATTAAACATTTATCAGTACATGTTAATCAGTTGTGGATATCCGGCGATGCTTCACTTCCATCGTGGGATGCCCATGGCCGAACCATTAAACATTTATCAGTACATGTAAATCAGCCGTTGATATTCTGCGATGCTTAACTTCTATCGTGGGATACCCATGGCCGAACCATTAAATATTTATCAGTACATGTAAATCAGCCGTTGATATTCTGCGATGCTTAACTTCTATCGTGGGATACCCATGGCCGAACCATTAAATATTTATTAGTACATGTTAATCAGCCGTGGATATCCGGCGATGCTTACCTTCCACTGTGGGATACCAATGGCCGAACTATTAAATATTTATCAGTACATGTTAATTAACCGTGGATATCCGGCGATGCTTAATTTCCATCGTTGGATACCCATGGCCGAATCATTTATCATTTATCAGTACATGTTAATCAGCTGTGTGGATATCCGGCGATGCTTAACTTCCATCGTGGGATACCCATGGTCGAACCATTAAACATTTATCAGTACATGTTAATCAGCCGTGGATATAATGCGATGTTTAACTTCCATCGGGGGATACCTATGGCCGAACCATTAAATATTTATCAGTACATGTTACTCAACCGTGGATATCCGGCGATGCTTAACTTCCATCGTGGGATGCCCATGGCCGAACCGTGTAATATTTATCAGTACATGTTAATCAACCGTGGATATCCGGCGATGTTTAAAGCAACAGACTCACAGCCCGTCAGACCCCGGTAGACGTCCGGGGTGATCCGGGAACGACTGAGGTACGACCGTGAACAACCGGAGTACATCCGTAACTCTGCCGGCAACGTCCGGGATGATGCGGGAACATCCGGCATTCGACTCTGGATGGAATATAATATGATATCACCGGGGTGGTCCGTGATAATCCGGGAAGTATAGCTTTGCCGGCTACATCCTCTGCACTGCCCGGAACGACCGGGTTTACACCGGGAAGCACCGTAGCTCTGTCGACACAAACCGGGGATGACCCGGGACATTATATAGCCGGTAAAGCTACGGTAGAGCCCCGGTGAATGTTGGCAGAGCTCCGGTGAAGGTCGGCAGAGCCCCGGTAAATGCCGGCAGAGCCCCAGAGGATGCTGGCATAGTCCCGGAAGATGACGATGGAGCTACATTGATCCGGTAGAGCCCCGGCAAGTCCGGTTTATTTCAGAAGAATCACGACAATTTGCGATTATTTCACTTGTTTGTATCAAAACCATTCCCATTTCCCTTTTATCCAGTCACGATAAGTATTTTTCAGAAAATCATCATGAATTACTGTTCTGGAACAATAGATATAATATTAAGAAAAATTATGTATCAATGTAATCATTTTCGCGTGTTTTTAATCCACCGGGGTTCAACCGGGACCCTGCCTGGATCGTCCTGGGCTCTGCCTGGATCGACCGGGGCTCTGCCTGGGTCAACGGGGCTCTTCCGGCGTCATCCGAGGACGACCGAGGAAGCAACGGCATGAACCATACCTTCACCAGGGTTCTACCTGGACGGTCAGGAGAGTATCCTGGGTGGTGAGTTGGGAATTACCGTAGTGCTGCCGTCATTAGTGTGACCGCAACAATAATTTCACCCCGGATCGTCCCGGACCATCCCAGTAACTAACCGGGTTGGTCCTGGGCCATGCCAGAAGTAAGTGATACCGCAGCGTAACTTCCATCGTTGGATACCATCGGCCGAACCATTAAACATTTAGCAGTGTATGTTAATCAGCCCTGGGTATTCGACAATGTTTAACTTCCATCGTGGGATACCATCGGCCGAACCATTAAACATTTTCTGTACATGTTAATCAGACGTGGGTATTCGACGATGTTTAACTTCTATCGTGGGATACCATCGGCCGAACCATTAAACATTAATAAGTACATGTTAATCAACCGTGGATATCTGGCGATATTTAACTTCCATCGTGGGATACCAACGGTCGAACCATTAAACATTTATTAGTTCATGTAAATCAGCAGTGGATATCCGGTTATGTTTAAATTCCATCGTGGGATACTATCGGCCGAACTATTAAACATTTCTCAGTACATGTTTATCAACCGTGGATATCTGTCCATCGTGGGATACCAACGGTCGAACCTTTAAATATTTATAAGTACATGTTAATCAACCGTGGATATCTGGCGATATTTAACCTTCATCGTGGGATACTATCGGCCGAACCATTAAACATTTATCAGTACATGTTAATCAACCGTGGATATCCGGCGATGTTTAACTTTAAACATTAAACTGAACATAACACGCATAAAATGAACAATAATACAAAAATATATTAGAATAGAACATTTAAACATAATAATATATGTAATGTATAAATTGAACATATAAACGTTATGAATATAAATTGAACATACAAATAGACATAATGAGATGATATAAATACAAATTACCTTTCAATAATTTACTAATTCTTATCGACGGAATAAATATTTCACGAACATACCAGGACCAAATGGAACAGTTATTATCTTTGTCAGTTGAAACCTGTTTAAAGTTACACGAGTATAATACAGTGCTCTAATATATGTATGTAAACATCCATATAGACTTATTCTTGAACTACTGCAAATCAAAACTATTTTGGGCTTTTCTGGTCCGAACAAACTTTTGCATATAGATGTTATCCGTAACTCGGCAAATTTTGGGTTTTCCCAGCTAATCCGTGGGTATAAACAAACTTTTACCGTTATAACTCCTCGATATGCTACCTGTTACAATAGATTAGTCAACCTGTTGCGCTTACTTTCAAAGCTGTAGCCGTAAAAGTTTGTTTTTCCTATGGATTAGCTGGGAAAACCCACATATTCTTAATTACGAAGTGAGTCTATTCAAAAATAGAAAAACAAAATAAGCGCGACAGATCGACTTATCTTTTGTCAATGGTTCTTTAACGGTAAAAGTTTGTCTAAAACCCCACCTTTTCCGAGATTCGGATATTTACATGTATTTATACATTTACCAGGAATGTGTTAATTGTTTTATATTTTTAGTGATTTTTTTCAAAGTAAATGAATTTTTAATTCTGTTTTGACAGGCTTTAATAGTCAATATAACTCCCGTTATTACCCAGGATGTAACAAGAGGTAAGATATTTGCTTTATTTACCAGAATATTCATATATTCTTATTGACCAGTTGATGAGTAAGATACAACCTCAAAATCAACTATACAATAATTTGCATATTTGTAATTTAAGCTTTAGATCAAAACAAAAGTATATTGATCGCAACATCCACGTGTGTGTAAGTGCCTTTTTGATATCGAATACAACGCATTTTCAAACCCTTTATTCCGCTTTGTCAGCCATGTTTGTTTTCAGAAATGAAGCACATTCAAGGTAAATTCTTATTGTTATCATTCTTATTTCTGTTTTTAAAAGTCTTTAAAACATAGACCTGGATATGCACTTTGAAATGGTTGTTATATGAATTTTGGCCTACTTTCACTTTGGACAGACTTGGTGAAAACAAACATGGATGACAAAGCAGAATCACCTTAAGCTATTTTATTTTACTTCTAAACTTTTTTAAACGTCAGTTCTAATGTCGTTCCTGGCTTTCCAATTTACTGTTTGTACAAAGAATCAGAGTCATCATTCCTTGGGTTGAGATGCACACAACTTCGCCAATCGATCATAACTGTTCACTGGAAATATTCCTAGAAACATCGATAGAAAAAAATGGAACCAAAACATTTTGATCACATTAATTACAAAGGTCAAATATTTCCTTTGAAGTCAGTGGTGATTAACAATGTTTTTTTTTTTGATCCCACAGTGAAACTATTTGGTGGTTACTTTCCTTGGGAAGGTACGGTACAAGTTTACCATGATGGTGTTTGGGGTACCATCTGTCATGATAGCTTTAATACAAATGCAGCCAGGGTAGTATGTAACATGCTTGGATACGGCTTTGTGTAAGTTACTAAGTTTTATATGGTCAGAGAAGAGATCTATCAATACCGGCTAGCTCTAGATCTATATTTATTTGATAAAATGTATAGAAATCATGACATAAGTTTACTGTTTGTTTGTTTCTGTGTAAAATCAAAATATGTTTTCTCGGGATAACTAAAACATTTTTATGAGTTTCGTTGTTTTGAGTGGAAATATCAAAGTTGTCGTTCATATGTTTCAAATTTCGATCTGAAATTTTGCTTTATATTCAATTTTTCGATAAAATCTAATATATTATGCATATCCATAATATCATTTGCTCGGATGCACTTTTTTACAAAATAAACACTAATTCTTATAGCGGAAACCTCTAATGTCAATTAATGCTCAAAGCAAAATGGATATTGTTGTTTCCTCTGTTTGGATCAGCTAGTTCACAGATGACAATGGTAATTGCAAGCCACAATCCAATGCACTCGAGGGTCGGCCTATGTAAACAGTTATATTGACTTCATCTAGAAAAGTTTCATTTATTACAGTGGCTCTTATGAAGTAAGTGCTCATTTTGGACGAGGATCTGGTCCAATATGGTTAGACGATCTTGTATGTAATGGCAACGAAGCAAATATAGATCAATGTAGTAAATACCAAAACAGATGGGGCGCACATAATTGTAACCATAATGAAGATACCGGTGTTATATGCGGTAAAGTAATGTTATTACAAAAAAGTAATAAATAAATAAATAAATGAACAATACAATTCTCAACGCGCAAGTCATTAATACTATTATGTTTATATGTTATTCATGTTTCTCATATAAAGGCTGCTATTGTCATTAATAGTCAGACCACGGAAATGTTTTAATGTCAGTTAGGACATGATTTTAATGTGATTGGGAATACATTAATTTTAAGAGGTCCTAATGTTGGTAAACTTTATTTTCTTAAATCTTCGAATGTTGTTTTTACTTAGAAACCTTTTAATAAATTTTGTTTCGTTCATAAAAAATAGAAAGAAAACCAAAAAGAGGAAAGAAAAAAAAGAAACAGAAACAAATAGAAAACAACATGTTTTGTCCCAACACAATTATAATTTCAGACACTACATCCATGGAAGTTAGACTGATAGGTGGCCGTGGAAACTTTGAAGGCACAGTTGACATCAATTACGGTAGACAATGGGGAACTATATGTGACAGAGGATTCACAGATCAGGACGCAACAGTTATTTGTAAAATGGCGGGTTTTGATAAAGGGTTCTTATCATTTTTTCATAATACGCTGGTGTATTTGTACAAAATTATAACTGATGGTTTGATTACTAAATTGATTTTATGCCAACATATATCATTTTATAAGTGTTAACACAAGTGATTCATTATGTATCATCATTGGTATTATTTCAGTTTTTTTTACGGCAACTAGTACGTATTTGCTAAGGCATAAGTAAACCTATCCTTAAATGCTAATTAGGTAGGATCTTGTGCTAACACATGCGACCTCAGATGAATAAATACTTTTTCGATATTCTTTTTTGGAGACCTTTTCATTGAAAATGTGTTTGAGATAAATCGTATACCCATTAAACTCATTACCTGAACAGGAGTGCAGGTATTAGTAACCTAAACTCTAGTTAATACCTGTCTCTCGATATTAAACATAGAGCATCGGGGTGACGACTGGAAATGTGTTTTTGTTCTGGGTTGACAAATAGAAAAGTGTTTTGACTATGATAATAAGGGAAAGAAGATCAAAATCTGATATATATAGTCAAAGGCTCCGCTCCGAAGGCTACTACGTCATACATATCATGAAATAAAATTGAAGCATCTCATAGTTTATTATATCTTTATAGTGTGGCTGTCAGAGGTGCAAAGTTTGGAGAACTCGACTACGGTAGAATATGGGCTGAAAATTTGGGCTGTCAGGGATCTGAGCCAAGTATCAAACAGTGCAGCCGTTATTCAGCGTTTGGCTCATCTTCAACATGTGACCATTCGATGGATGCTGGAGTAGTTTGTGGTACATAAATTTTAGAGATTTTTATTTCAATATCCTTAATATAATCTTGATTGTGGATAAGGTTAGAGGCAGATTCAAAAGTATTCCTGACCGGCAGGGTAAACGTGTCATATGATAAATGGTACCGGTGACATGGGATTTTGAGCACTAGTTTTTACTACATAGATAACTACAATAATTTTAATCTCAATGTCATTAAACATTGCTTGCAATGAAAACAAAAATGTCGTTAGTTCCAAGGTTTGTCAAGTACAATGTATTTAAAATGTATACAACACATGATGACTCGGCTTTGCCAATAATCTTTTTATTTATTTTTTGGTCACTTTTCATCTTAAGATTGGGTTCGAGATAAAGACTAATATTATTCTGGTTATAAACGTTATAGTGTCAAAAGGAAGTACTTAATTAGTACCAATTTGTAGATAAATTACAAGTATTATTATTGAACCTTGGTACTTGTCACAAAGAAGTCCTTAATTGCACTGCAAGACACTTTTACTATGGTTTCTTTCATATGAAAAATTCTTCTTTGATCTCAAAGGTTAAGACAAGCAGTTAAAACAATGACACAGTAAGTTAAATCAAAAGCACCCGTATGACCTCTCTTTGTTGCTCCTGACATTTAAAATGTGATAACATACAAATCATGAGTCAACTAACTTAGAACAAGTCGTATTCGTTATACAAGGAGAATTAGATAGTCTTGACACCATCTTAGAATTAATAAAAGACAAATCCTAAGCCAAATAAAACAAGAAGTATGAATATAACACACATAATATAAGGTGAACCTTACCTGAACCACTTACGTCTCTATAACACTAGAGCGTCGACATGTCTCCTTAGAATAAACAAATGACAAAAAAATCAATCAAATGACGAACATATCTCTTAAATCAGTGATAACATATTTACAATTTACAGATCACACTCCTGTGCGACTTGTTGGCGGTCAATACCCATCTGAAGGACGGTTGGAAGTGTATCATAATGGAGCTTGGGGAACAGTTTGTAAAACTGGATTTGATGTTTCAACTGACGGTGTAGCTTTCTGTGAAATGCTCGGATATAATTATACCACGTTTGTATACCTAAGACTCTTATTATTATGTTTGAACTTTTCATTAAATCGTCAAGTCAAAAACCACATTAATTCATTGCATTGTCTGTGTAGAAATGCTTTTTAATTCATCTGCAACTTTTACCAGATTTATACATTTTGGTCTGTGAACATTGTTGTTGAACATAATGTTGAATGTCTTTTTATTCGAATGCCCACATGTAAAACATACCACGTGACCATACTACCTTTTACTATCTGACTGGGTAACAGAATGTTAATTGCCTGTTTTATTTATTTGCAAAGCACACCGGTAGTGTACAATGTCACTGCTGGAACTGGACCAATCTGGTTAAGTAACGTTGATTGCACAATCCATACAGTGGACTTAGAATATTGCGCCCATGATGGATGGGAGAACACAACCTGTAACCATGACATGGATGTTGGCCTACGATGCCGTAAGTTAATCATCATTTTGACTGGACGTATCTAACGTCGATTTGCATTGGCTAATTGTGGCGTTTTATTACTTCACGTTTGTATCGTTGTTTTTCAATGGAATATATCTATGTTCCATTGACTGCACGTATGTAACGTCTATTTTAATTGGATAATTGTGTCGTTCATAAAATCTATACAGACGGCTGTTAATCATTTATGAAACATGTTAATGCAGAACGCTTCATTCACTATAAATACATTTGATCAAGTAAATAAGTATTATTGTACATATATAGACACAATACTATTTACCAACATACATCGCAAAATCATACTGAGAAATGCTGTTCCTCTCTTGGTTAAGCGCCTAAGGTAACCATAAAACATTGTCCGTTGGTTGCTGACGCGTATTTGATATTCTCTTTTGGGTGAAACTTCATTGCTTGTTATCTTGCCAATGAGATCCTTTGAAGAAGACCGGTGGTCTAGTGGTTATGGTGTCTGTCTCAACTCAGGATCATAGGTGCGAGCCCTTATCGAGCCACGACCATGTTTTTTATGTCACAACAGTGTTGGATGGTATCAGGAAGCGGACTCGAAAGTGAATAATATAAGTTGCAAGAACTTGTTTCGAAATTGAGCTTAAATAAATATGTTTCGACCATCCTTTGAATAATGTTGCTCAAACATATAAGCTCTAGCACGTGCGGTTTTAGAGGAGAAGATTTTGAAAGTTTTTATGTATACATTTAGCACGGAGGAAGGTAGTCCAGTACTGGTGTAACACTCCAGGAACGATGGTTAGGAAACTACCCGCCTATATGACTGAAATACTGTTGGGAAAAGGCGAAAAATGAAACAAACAAACAAAAAACATTTAATGTATACATGGCTTTAATGTTTTTGTTGTTTTTGAAGGGCACACTAATCTCCAACTGAGAGGTGGTTCCGGTGCATGGGAGGGTAGTGTTGAGTTTCTTCTAGACAACACAAACACTTGGACTTCGGTCTGTGACTCAGATTTTGGCGAGAGTGAGGCGAAAGCGGTTTGCAAGATGCTTGGATATATTGGCAGGTGTGTTATTTGGGCTATTCGAATATATTTCCTTAAAATGTTTAATAAGATTGTTATCTAAACATCCTTTCTTTTATAGTTTCCTATTACAAATCGTTAAACTATTATCCCATTTGGCTGACAAAGTCTTTGTAAGCTTGTCTGTTTGGAAGGGAAAGCCGAGCATTTAGGATCGCTGCTTCGTCGTCATCGCTGTCGTCCTCAAGAACATTTATGTAGCTCAGTATTCAAAAATTTTCATTGTTATCAGCATGAAACTTAGAATATTTTCTTATCATGACAATGGGCAGTTATAAGACAAGGTGCATATTTTTTGAAGCAATATTTTTGGAGTTATGTCCCTTTTTAACTTAGACATTTTAACAGACGAGCGTCTACCACATTTGGTACTCTTGTTCTACTCTGAAATTATACTACAAAATTTAGGTTTATCATATTAAATTAGTGGACACGACCCTTCGTTTACTTTGTATGAATACGTTGTTTATCTAGAATTAAACTGCATTTACTATAGACTTTTGTGGCATTTTTTCTATTTTCTTCGTAATCATATTAACGAATTTTCTTTCATTCAAGCGATGTCCACCATGTTGAATATGCAGCCGGATATTTTGCCTCCAGCTACCAGCCTTCTATCGGGAATCTTACGTGTACCGGAAACGAGACAGACATAAGACATTGTTCGGCTGTTTACAAAACGAACGCATCTTGTACAGCAAGTACTGCCGCCAGTATTAAATGTCGTAAGTGTGCAGAGATGCAACATCCTTTATATAGACTTTAACTATTGCATGACTGTTGAAATTTTTTAACATGGTGATACAGGGCGTGAACTTGCATTTACAACTACAATCGGTTTAAGTAAAATGTGAAATTTCAAAATAAAATTATTGGAATTTTGAATTTAGAGACATCTGCAGATGTTGTAATACGTCGGTTACCATGAAAACTTCGCTGATACACTTTCCTGCAACTTCACTGAAAGTGTCGTGTGCCCCAAAGTTTAAGTATCTAAAGAATGCTTGTTTAATGAGATAGCAATGGGTGGAACTAAATAAAACGTAATTTAAAGGGGATCAGATGTAAATTAGCCTATAAGCCTACATATCATATCCAAGATGTCACAAGACAAATTTAAAAAGCAGGTAACATATCTTAAGAGTGAGTATACAGCAATCTAGTTGGAATACTGTAACCACTCAACTACAAACAGTTCTAATAGACGGAACTAAAAATACAACTAACACATACAAGCACGCACGCACACACGCACACACACACACACGTACACACACATACATAGCAATAATGTCGTGCTGAACGGTCATTAAGGATCTAAAATATAACAGCTTTGATTACTTATAAAGTACAGATGTCATCTTTTTTTAAAGGAAGTATTAATGTGCGGCTGGTTGACGGACCACACAGTAGTGCTGGTAGAGTAGAGGTCTATCATAATGGGCAATGGGGAACGGTGTGTGACAGCCAGTGGGATGACGAAGATGCAACAGTTATTTGTAAAATGTTATCTGCTTATCCATACGAAGGGTATAAATATTTATGTTCATAATTAAAACTCATTATATACGTTAAAACAGATGTGTTAACAATTTTTACTTGTACTATGTATGTACTCATGACAGCAGGTGGTGTGTCCTCCTGAAAAAGGCCGCCGTCTTCTCACTGATGTTCTCTAGGATGTTTCCCATGTTGCTTTAACCTTCTTAGCCATTGCTAAAGCATGTTACACTTTTCATAGTGTGAGTCTGAGCAGTGTAAACTCAACCGGAAATCCACTGACAGTGATATTTATCTTATTGCGTTTTACGTTAGTTTCATGAGATTCTTGCTTTTTATGCATCTATTATGGCAACTTTTATGGCAACTGTTATGTACAGTTTTATATTTTCAGTCAAGTGTTCGGTAAAGCTGTAAAATCGTCGTATTATGGAGGTGGTACAGGCCCCGTATGGTTGGCTGATGTAAGGTGTAGAGGGACTGAACATGATATTAAAGATTGCGTAAAGAGCTGGGCAGGCGGAGTCAACTGTGATCACACGAACGACGCCGGAGTCATCTGTAAACGTGAGAACTATTATTTTATTATCCCAAAAACAATGTTACATTTAAAAGAACAATAGTGAATGGAATTATAGTAGTTTCCGAAATAAGCTCTATGCTATTTATTACTTGTTGATGTTTCCGTATCTTTGCGTTAATCTTATATATGTTGAATACTCTTCTTCGTGAAGGTTGAGCGGGAATTTGTTATCTCTAACCTAGATATTTCAAACGAGGATAGCGACCTTAAACTGCGTCATATTGTGTGAAAGTTACATATGATTGAACTTGACCTCGATGACATAGTGAATGTTAACGACCTGAAAAGCTAACAGACATTTATATTTCAATGACATCTTTTTGTACCAACCTTAAAACGCAGTAATGTAATATTTCAAATAAGTATTAAAATGAGTTAAAAATGTTAGATTACACTAAACAAAATTTTTAATGCTCACATTGGATATCATTGCTTCAGTTAGCAATGTATTTATTTATTTTACATTAAATCTGCCATTATCATTTTTATGATATCATTAAGCTTTAAAGCATAATCGCCTAATTTGTCTTACCCCTGTCGCTAAAATTTATGCAATTTTCAAAGCACAATATCGTAGTTTGTCTTACTTCTGTCGCTAAAGTTGATGTAAATTTCAAAGCACAATATCTTAATTTGTTTACCCCTTTCACTTTAATTAATATAAATTTCAAAGTACATTCTCATATATGTGTCTTTGTCACTAAGATATCAGTTAGCTTTAGGAAGCACTTTCTTATTTTAATGTGTATAAACTTCAAAGCACAATCTCTTAGTTTGTCCTAACTAAGATATATATCAGTTAGCTCTTATTTTAATTTTATATGTAAACTTCAAAGCAAAATCTCTTAATTTGTCTTACATCTGTCACTAAAATTAATTAAATTTCTAAGCACAATCTTCTAACTTATCTAACCTCTGGTACCAAAATTTATGTAGATTTCAAAACATAATACCTTAATTTGTATTTCACTTGCCACTTACTTAATGTTAATTTCAAAGCATTAATTTCAAAGCACTTAGTTTGCCGTACCTCTGTAACTAAGATATATATCAGTTAGCAATCTCTTATTTTAATTTATGTAAACTTTAAAGCACAATATCTTAATTTGTCTTACATCTGTCACTAAAATTTATGGATACTAAAATTTATGTAAACTTCAAAGCACAATCGTCTAATTTATCTTACATCTGTCACTAAAATTTATGTAAATTTGCAAGCACAATCTCCTAACTTGTCTAAACTCTGTCACTAAAATTTATGTAGATTTCAAAACATAAACCCTTAATTTGTATTTCATTTGCCACTAAATAAATGTTAATTTCAGCACAATCTCCTTATCTATCGTACATCTGTTACTAAAATTTATGTAAATTTCCAAGCACAATCTCCTAATCTATCGTACATCTGTCACTTAAATTTATGTAAATTTCCAATCACAATCTCCTAACTTGTCTAAACTCTGTCACTAAAATTTATGTAGATTTCAAAACATAAACCCTTAATTTGTATTTCATTTGCCACTAAATAAATGTTAATTTCAGCACAATCTCTTAGTTTGCCGTACCTCTGTAACTAAGATATATATCAGTTAGGCTAAGGAAGCAATCTCTTATTTTAATTTATGTAAACTTTAAAGCACAATATCTTGATTTGTCTTACATCTGTCCCTAAAATTTATGGATACTAAAATTTATGTAAACTTCAAAGCACAATCGCCTAATTTATCTTACATCTGTCACTAAAATTTATGTAAACTTCAAAGCACAATATCTTGATTTGTCTTACAATTGTCACAAAAAATTATTGATACTAAAATTTATGTAAACTTCAAAGCACAATCGCCTAATTTATCTTACATCTGTCACTAAAATTCATGTAAACTTCAAAGCACAATATTTTGATTTGTCTTACATCTGTCACTAAAATTTATTGATACTAAAATTTATGTAAACTTCAAAGCACAATATCTTAATTTGTCTTACATCTGTCACTAAAATTTATGTAAACTTCAAAGCACAATCGCCTAATTTATCTTACATCTGTCACTAAAATTTATGTAAACTTCAAAGCACAATATCTTGATTTGTCTTACATCTGTCACTAAAATTTATTGATACTAAAATTTATGTAAACTTCAAAGCACAATCGCCTAATTTATCTTCCATCTGTCACTAAAATTTATGTAAGCTTCAAAGCACAATATCTTGATTTGTCTTACATCTGTCACTAAAATTTATTGTTACTTAAATTTATGTAAACTTCAAAGCACAATCTCTTAATTTGTCTTACATCTGTCACTAACCTTAATCTAAATTTCAAGGCACAATCTCCTACTTTATCTTACATCTGTCACTAAAATTTATGTAAACTTCAAAGCACAATCTCTTAATATGTTTTACATCTGTCACTAAAATTTATGTAAATTTCCAAGCACAATCTCCGAACTTGTTTAATGTCTGTCACTAAAATTTATGTAGATTTCAAAGCATAATCTATTAATTTGTCTAACCTTTGTCACTAAAATTTATGTAAATTTCCAAACACAATCTCCTAATTTATCTTACATCTGTCAAAAAGATTTATGTAAACTTCATAGCACAAGCTCTTTATTTGTCTTACATCTGTCACTAAAATTTATGTGAATTTCCAAGCACAATCTTCTCACTGTATAAGCTCTGTCACAAAAATGTATGTAGATTTCAAGGCATAATCCGCATAATTTGTATTTCATTTGCCACTAAAATTAATGTAAATTTCAAAGCACAATCTCTCAATTTATCTAACCTTTGTCACTAGATTTATGTAAATTTCAAAGCACAATATTATAATATTTTTTTCTTCGGTCACTAAGATTTCAGTTAGCTTCAAAACATAGTCTTATACCTTTTCTTTACCTCTGTCACTAATATATCGGTAAGCATTAAGAAACAGTATTTTAAGGGCCACTTTCCCACGTTAGTTCAAACCCCGTCATGGGCAGGTGGTTTGTACATTGAGCAAGAAACTTTACACTCATTGCTCAGTACTGGTTGGTTCTAAGAAAGATTCGAAAGATTGTTTAAAAGCTATTAGCTTTCTTGACAATCACACTAAAATAAATACTGTATGAATTAATCTTCAGGCATCAACTTATTTACCTATATTACATGATTTTACTTTATTCCATAACAAAGATTCATATGATAAACGCCTTACAAATGGAAGAGATCAATCAATGGGTCGTGTTGAACACCTCCACTCGTCTTGGATGACGTACTGTAGCCGAGGTTGGGAAGTAAACGACGGAAAAGTTATTTGTCGTGAAGTGGGTTATTGGTAAGTGAAAGCATTATGTCATATGTATTGAGAGATAATGTTTGATGGTTCGATTTTTTATAGAAATACCAGTAGTATTTGTTGCCACTTCTTTTATCTATGTGTTTGATTGCTTCATATTCCATTGATATAGTAACTTTGGCCACTTTTTTCATCTCTGATATTTTTCAGTGTTGTTATTTATTTCTCCCTAGGTAGGAAATTATAAAACCAGCGTATCACATTTAAACCAGCGTATCACACTTTAAAATGAAAATAAAAAAGCAAACAACATATCTTCTGGGTATTTTTTTATATATTTATGTTTGGATATTGGCGATACTAATATAACTATGGTGAAGTTAAAAGAAGTCAGAAAGAAAAAAAGATACGCCAAACGTAAACGGAACGCTCATCCATTCTTTAAACGGGCGTCAAATTGCAGTACCTATTATGGTTTTCTCAGTAATATAACGTGTTCTTTAGGAATGTTGACCCGGTCATGCGTTACAATGCTACATACGGGAACGGTGTCAGCACAAACTATGATGTTCGTCCGGACTGTGATGGTAGTGAGGGAAGTTTCGAGATGTGCCGCTTCGGTAAACAATACGCGAAAGCTACTTGTCCACAAGCAGAAAATGTTGGAGTTGAGTGCAATCCACAAGCTGCAGGTCTGGTAACTGAAAAGAACAAGTTTTTAAAAAAAATAGATAAACTTTAACCTGCTGATTTTTTGTACTTGATATTACTGCTACACTCCGGATTAAAATATGTTTTGGCCTGTTGATAAGTTTGTGTCGCTAGTTACACAGAAGCAGATACATGTTAACATGTAGCCATATCTTAAAGGAATCGAGCTTTGGTCGTTTTATTGGCCTGTTAATAATTTTAATATTTTTGTGTCTCCTGCACAGTAGCAACGGCATGCAAATGACTTTCTGATATCAGACGTCACGTGTTCACAGATCGCTCTTGTTAATTGTTTTAGAACTATTCTTATCTATTTCACCATTAAAGTTGTTTAAACCAAACATCGTTTTAGATAGAACAAATGTCCGATTGGTAGATGGAGAAGGTCCATGGCGTGGACGGTTGGAAATCTTGACCAATCATACATGGGGCAGCGTTTGTTATGATTTCTGGAATAAAACAAACGCCCTGAAAGCTTGTGAAACTTTAGGATTCAAATACCTGTAAGAGGCAATTTCATTTATAACTTACAAAATTTATTTGTTTATCGTGTAAGTAGAGATGCACAATTTTACATATATTTTTATGCTACTTATACTTATATAACAAAGTCATCGCGCTAAGGATATTACATAATAATGTTACATTTCGATAAGCACGACATTATCGTTGTGTAATTGATCTTTTCTTGTTAGGTGGTTCCGGTATTCCTACTTGAATACTGTGAGAGCACCCATGTCCGCTTTTTTTTGTCTTAGTCGTCGAACAAATATCCATCACATCAATCTCAAAACACTAAAAATGTCCTGTAAGTTGACTAACTAAATTGCATCTTTTATACAGAAAATGATTTTATATTCATCATTTTACAAATACAAGCTCAACTTAACTTTTATATTTTTTAGGAGTTCTGACGCGTCAAGTTTTAGTACTAAAAGAGGACTCACGCCAATGCATTATAAGTCATTTAACTGTGACGCATCAGATAAGAACATTGGTTTGTGTAAAACGAATTTTAACATCAGTGAGTGTGAGAGGAGGAATTCAAACGCAGTTGGTGTCGATTGTTCAGGTTGGTTTTGTAATTATTTTTCGTTTGGCTTATAGTTCTTATATCTCCTTTTGTCAGTTTTAAGCCCGCGCTTTAAGAGCATGTTAGATTTCTTAACTGAAAATGCAGCCGCCTCCGTGGTCGAGGGGTTAGAGTCGATGACTTATAATCCAGTTACCTCTCCGACGTGGGTTCGATTCCCGGGAGATGCTTTGGTAGTTTAGCGTGGAGGAAGGTGGTCTAGAACTAATGTAACTCTCCAGCAGGAACGATGGTAAGGAAACCACCCGCCTTTATAACTGAAATACTGTTGGGAAAAGGCGTAAAATGAAACAAACAAACAAACAAAACAAACTTTACTGAAAAAGTAGCGCTAATTGTAAAATAATTTGTCTTAAAGTATTAAAATGTAAACAAAGTAGAATTTTGACTTCCATACAAAAATACTAAATCACTATAATTGTACTAATTGCTTAAGTGCAAAAGAACACAAAGATGATTTATATAATTTGCAAAGTAACTTTTTGGAACCTATACAAGTACACCAAATATGAACAACTTTTGAGAAAAAAGCGTTTCTGAGACATAATGGACCTTCAATTTTATACAATGGATAGAGACCAGTTTGCAAAGAGCAACGGAAGGGTCTCAATTTTATTTTGATTTTAAACATACCACTGGTGATAAAATAATGAAATAATGACGCCGGCAACATTGTTTTCAATCATTCTTTCAGGTGGAATAACACTTTCTTTAGAGCAGAAATATTCTGGTCTGGTCAACATTCAGAAGGCATCAAATGCTTCCGTAAACTGGACAGTTTGCTACAATACAGTTAACGTTGACGTTGCCAAGACCATTTGCGCCATGGTTGGATACAAGTATGTGATGTTCTCCCTGAAATATGTGATTTTTTCATGCTTTAACATCCGTGCTTGGGCATTTGCTACTTGAAATTGTGCACCATTCTCTTCTTCAAAATTTGCAGAAAGTTTTCTTCTTCAAGAAAATAATGATTTGGACTATCCAAACTGAAATGCATCTCAAATACAGTAATACTGCCTTTTCATTTCGCACATTTGACGTAGGGGCTTAACTCATAATGAAAATGATAAACATGAAGTGTACTATTTTAAGCACAGTTAGAACTATATTAAGCATAGTTGTTTGTACTATTTTTTTAGCACGGTTTGTATTTTAAGCACGGTTTGTACTATTTTAGCACGGTTTGTACTATTTTTAGCACGGTTTGTACTATTTTAAACATGGTTTGTACTATTTTTAGCATTGTTTGTTCTTTTTTTACCACGGTTTGAACTATTTTTACCTCGGTTTATACTATTTTTAGCAAGGTTTGTACTATTTTTAGAAAGGTTTGTACTATTTTTAGCATGGTTTGTACTATTTTAAGCACGGTTTGTACTATTTTAGCATGGTTTGTACTATTTTTAGCATTGTTTGTTCTATTTTTACCACGGTTTATACTATCTTAGCAAGGTTTGTACTATTTTAGCACGGTTTATACTATTTTTCGCACGGTTTGTACTATTTTTAGCAAGGTTTGTACTATTTTAGCACGGTTTATACTATTTTAGCAACACGGTACCAGTCGTCACGGCGGTATCATCAAGCAAAAGTGCTTTGTTCACAAATGTTTCTTGTGGCGGTTGGGAGACACACTTGTTACAATGTACGACACAAAGAAACGGGCCACCGTGTGGACAGAAAGCTGCCGTGCAGTGTCTAAGTAAATATAACATGATTAAACTTTTCATCCCACCATCATTTCTTTACTCATTCTAGCAATAGTTTCTCGAATATTCCGCTTGCCATCACCTTGCATTACTTATAATCCGTTTTTATGACGCATGACGCCAGTCATATACTTGCAGCTACTGTAAAAAGAAATACTTTTCCCTGACATGGGACTCTTAGCGCGTTTATATTAAAATACGATCGAAAAATACGTAAAAGCTGACTGATTCAAATGTACGGAACAATTTCTGAATAATGAAAGACAGGCAAAATAATGACATTTTTACGAAACTGATGCAAAAATATAGAATAAAAAGACATAGACGCCGAGTCAATATCAACTTCCGGTTGGCTCCCGTTTCACGATAATCCTTTCCCGAAACCAAATTGTTAATCCCTAACTTCGATTTTAAGCGAATTTATGTTCTCAAACGTGTCGATTCAATTGTGATATCATATAAAACATAAAATGACTGTATTTTTAAACGAAAACATAGTATGAATAAGTGTTGAGTGCATTATTCGACCGAAAGTGTGAAGATGTGTAGTAAAAATAGTATTATGTGGGTCTATTGCAAATTCTGCCAAAGATCTCGCCTTATTTTATAATTTTTTTGATTAGATGCTTTATTCAATGGCACGTCCTGTAATATATCCGAGAAACAAAAAGCTTTTAGCGTACTTAAAATCAGAGATTTCTCAACATATTGGATAGTTACTAGATTATGCATCTTAGTTCCTCGTTATTGCTCCATCGTTGTTCATCCATTTCTTCTTTCCCTTTTCTTTGATCTTTTTTCCCTTTATTATTCAGTGTATATCTGTTTGCCATATTCTCCACTTTGCTTCATTTTCATTCATTTGTTTCCCTATTTCTTTCTTTGACTGCTTGTTCTTACATATGTTGCATTGTAAAGTACGTAGCCTTTATGTAAATGCCTTTGAATATTTCCAAATAACCGTTGTGTATAATAATGCCATGAAATGTGCTAATGTAAATTATTATAACTGGGAAGGGACACTCATAAGCTTTATAGCGTTCTGCCCAAACCCAAAATGTATTTTGTAATTATTGTTCATATGTTGAATATTATGTTAAATAAATATTTTTAAACCAATGGCACTGTAAAAAATGCTTTTGAAGAGTTTCCCTGCTAATTATGCCCCCATTCGAAGAAGTGGGGTATATTGCTTTGCATTTGTCCGTCGGTCTGTCGGTCCGTAGACCAAAATGGTTTCCGAGTGATAACTAAAGAATGCTTAGGCCTAGGAATTTCAAACTTTGTTTGATGATTGTTCATGACCAGCATATGACCCCTATTGATTTTGGGGCAAAGGGGTCAAAGATAGGTCACATTGACATTGTAGGTAAAAACAGTTTCCGAGTAATTTTTTGGTCAATGGGTCAAAAGTCAGTCATAATGACCTGATCACATGACTAATTGGCTACCGATAGGGACATACATGTTTTACAAACATATATTGTTTATAAGAGCAGAGGTATATCAATTTAAATATTTCAGGATGTGTACAAACGTTCAGAACAGAAAACGGGACCGTAAAATCTAACGGATATCCGTCTTATCCATCCAACGCGGATTGCTTGATTATAATTGAAAAACATGGCACTACACCACTAAAACTGGATTTTAAGGACTTTCAAGTGGCGGGCGATGGTGATTATGTGGAGGTAGGTGCTACACATTTGTAATCCTTGTGCTGCAAAATTAATCAGTTAATTTTTGTCAAATTCGAATAAAAGAAATACTCAAACAATACCACAATAAAACATTAGTTGACAAATGTCAATTGCTAGAAAACTTTTTTTTATTTTTTAATTTCTTAAAAGGTGATCAAGTGTAGAGATTAAAACTGAATACATCGCTAAAACGCATTTCTTAAAGATAACGGGCCCTCATTGGCACACTTGGGAGCAGCCATATTGGTAATTGCTTATTTAAATTACATTAACGACGTCACAGTGGAAAATATCCTCTTGCACAACAAATACGAAAACTGTCGAAAGAAGGCGATTGGCTTCGGGTTTATAGCTCATTTATCAATTCATGTAGGGTTCGTAATTCTTTAATTGCGTTGATTTGTTTTAGTTAATGTTAATTTATTTATCTACCAATTGTAGGTCAAAGATGGAAATGGGAAACAACTTGGTTACTACACAACCAATGAACACATCCCATTCTTGGTTTCTAAAGAGGGATTCTATATTAGACTAAAATCTAACGCCAATGGCAACGCAAGGGGCTTTAACGCAACATGGAGTCGTAAGATGTTACAATTAAAAAACTATTTTGATCATTTACTATTTACTTTATGCTGATTGAAAAAAAAATGAAATGGAAAACTGTAAGACACAGGACGTATTTACATGTTGCATAGTAACAATTTATATTAAATACGATTGGTACAAAAATGTTATATGCGATCAATGACTGATTTTGCAGTATAGTATTTGTCAATGAATGTCTACTGCGTGACAGAATAGGCTATTTACGCATATTTTACCTCTTTTTGATAATTTACGTGAATATATGTGCAATTTGCCAATTTGTTTGCTTTCTTTGTTCTCCTCACAATAAAGTTTACTCTTAAAAACATTTTCAAAATTTCATGAAAATTAGCATGAATCTGGAGGCATGCTGCTTTAGTTGTAAGCTGTATTATGCTATTACAAAGTAAAAAATTTTCATTCATTTTTCTATCAAACTTTTAGCTCTACGTATAATTGACGCCGTGCGCATGGGTTGTGAGTCGAAGGGTTGGAACGTGGCTGTCAACATGACCATCTTGCGTACACTATACCCGGATACTGGTGTGTCCCAGATCAAACTCTCCGAGCAAGACTGCACGGGTCAAGTGGTGGGAGACCTTGTCCTGTTTAAACAGAGTTATGCAAAATGCTCGACAACGTCAAAGGTAAGTCATCTTTGTTTCTGTTTGAAAGAAAAACAACAACAACAACAACAACCAAAAAAAAAAAAACAATTCAGTTAAATATATGTATACATAAATAAAAATGTAATGTTTTTTATCATATACAATAAACTATTCATGTAAATACATGCGTTTTAAGTCTATTAATAAAACGTACAAGTGTTTCAAATTTAAATGAAATTTACAACATTTTCTAGCACCAACACATTCAGCATGTCGTCTTCATCTCCGTCGTCATCATAAGAAAAGTAATAGTAATGAAAGTGATATTGATAATGACGATGATGATGAAACTGGTAATGATGATGATGATGCTGATGATGCCGATGATGCCAATGATGATATATAATGATTGAGATGATGATGATGATGATGACAGTACTGATAATGATAATGACGAGGATGGTGGCGATGACGATCATGACGAAGTTGATGGCGAAGAATGTGATGATGATAATTGTTATAATTATGATAAAAATACGATGAACATGACATTTATTAGGGTATATGAAAGGTGATTTAATTAAGTCGGGTGAAAAGAATGTTTATTTTCATGAAATAACTGCAATATACACGTGCATGTGCAACACTTGTATTTCAGTCAACTGGAGACACGTTGATCTATGATAACCAGCTAGTATATCCGGAGTCAAGAACACCTTTCCCAATTATTGTGCACGGATACCGATGGAGGGTAAATATATTCTCATTATTTTTGATTAAAAGAATGTTTTGTGTAATATTAGGAATTATCATTGCAAAATAAAGTAATTCTACAAAATTTATTCTATGCATCTTAAAAATAAGAGATTTTGAATTGGGGGTGTACACGTCATTAGTTTTTCTAAAGACTTTCTACCAAATCAGATGATTTATGATACTTTTCATTTATAAACAAAAGAGCAAAAAATGTGTGTGTTATTTAGGTTGATTTTGCGTATTATAATGTAATTTCATATCTGGATTACATTATAACGTCATAATAACATGAATATTGCAAATGATTAGATTGCAACTCCCTTTCGTAATGTATTATAACACCCAAGTCGTATTGTAATTTGACTTCTTGTTCTTAATGTATTGTAACTTAATATTCGTATTATAATATGACTTTCTATTCGTATTGTATTGTAATTTCATATTCGTATTGTATTGTGACTTCCTATTCGTATTGTATTGTAACTTCCTGTCCGTATTATATTGTGACTTTCTATTCGTATTGTATTGTGATTTCCTGTCCGTATTATATTGTGACTTTCTATTCGTATTGTATTGTGATTTCATATCAGTATTGTAATGTAACTTCCTATTGGCATTGTATTGAAAATTTATATTCCTATTGTATTGTAACTTCGTATTCTAATTGTATTTTAACTTTTTATTTATATTGTATTGTAACTTTCGTTTTATTAGTGTATTGTTTCTTCATATTTGTATTGTATCGTTAATTCAGTTCGTATTGTACTGAAATTAATTATTCTTATTGCATTGTAAATCTGTATTCGTATTGTATTATAACTTCATATTCGTATTGTATTATAATTTCATATTCGTATTTTATCATGATTTTATAGATCTGACTACATATTCATATTTCATTATAACGTATTAATGTATCGTCACTTTATTTTGGTATTGTATTATTAATTTAATTCTTATTGTATTGAAACTTAAAATTTGTATTATATTGTAAATTCATATGCGTTTTGAAGTGTAACTTTATAATTATTGGAATTGAATTGTTTTTGCATATTTATGCTTCATTTTCGTATTGCATTGTTACTTTTTGTTATCCGTTTTGTTTTGTAACTCCGAATCCGTATTGTATTGTCAATTTATATCCGTGTTGGATCTTCATATAATCATTGTATTGAAAATAAACAACAACATTATCTTTCATTTTCGCACTAGGTTGATCTAGAATGTGACGTTTCAAGAGTAGAGGAAGTGTCGACAAACTTTCATCCTAACAGAACTATCATCAATGAAAACCAACATGTAAGTTCATCATCACATTACAAATCGGATGTGAAGTTTTTTACAGACGGGACATTCTACAAACAGATCTTCGGGAACCCTATTTCACTTAAAACTGGTATGTTCTTCAGTTTTTCTTTTTTAATTTATATATTTAGATGTGTACGAATTTAATTGTTCTTGAACACGGGCGTAATGGTCCTGTTTGTAACCCTTTATGATAACAACAAGAACAACAACAACAAGAACAATAACAACAATATCAGCTTCAATGTATTTCGAGTGTTATCATTGGTTCAACGACTAAAATTAGTAATGTTTTAGTCTCTTGAGCCAGACCTCTGGAGTGAATTGTTTTATAAGTCAGTGGATTTTAAAACTTTAAAGTATTACAAATAAATATTGCAGAAGCCGGTGCTATGGGGCGTCAGTGATGTATCACCTGTAACTGTCTAGAATCAAATTATCTCTGCAAATTTAATATTTTCATTTTTTGTTAAAAAAAAAAATGCCCTTCAGGAACATACCCTTTGTTAGATTTAATGTACAAGGTTTTAATATAGGAGCCACGCCATGACAAAACCAACATAATGGGTTTGCGACCAGCATGGATCCAGATCCATAGAGGTGTTGCGAAAGTATTGTATAGAAACGGGCATATAATAAAAATCGTTTAATTTTTGTCTTAATAACATGTTTTAAAGTAAATTGTACTATAATGCCAGTTAATCGTAACGCCTATTCATTAATACACCTTGTTATAAGGTAACATAATAACCCACCATCACGCCTTTTTTCTCACATTACTCTTTTCTACATATGAGCCGCGTCACGACAAAACCATATCGTAGTGCGTTTGGACCAGCATGGATCCAGACCAGCCTGCGCATCCGCGCAGTCTGATCAGGATCCATGCTGTTCGCTATCAGTTTCTCTACTTGTTATAGGGTTTGTGAGCGAACAGCATGGATCCTGACCAGACTGCGCGGATTATGTTGGTTTTGTCATGGCGCGGCTCATATTTCTTTGTTTTACTTGTAATATACAAGTGATTATCTGAGTTCTTTGTTTTATACAGGCGACAATGTGTACGTTGCTGTAACCATGAACTCTGACGATGTCCAGGTGAAGATGAGACTTCATACATGTTACACAAAACCTGAGCCTAATGCAGATGCAAGACTGACGTATCCTTTAATACAAAACGGGTAAGGCATTTGAAATTCTACGAATCTTAATAAAACTATGCTTCATAATACGTTGTCTGAACTTTTTTTTGAATTATTTGTGACAACAACATTATTTATCAAGACGTGCTTCACTACTATTTTCCTCTTCAGTTGATATGATTAATCACATACAGCCACACCCGTGTTAAATACCACCCAAAAAAAGATCACCGTTTAAATAAAGGCCATTCTTTGACCAAACTTTCATTTATTAGATAGAATGAATAGAATAGCTACTTCCAAATAAAGACCACCTATGTATAGGAGCCGGAATTGGTCTTTCCTTTGGAGTTTCTTTGGTCACAGGTTTATCTGTTTTCTTTATGGACATTATCCGGTTCTAATTGTATTTGTTTTTATGTACAGTTTCATATTTTTCCAGATGTGTGGTAGATCCCGAAACTCATATTCTTTCACAAGGAACACACGAGACCCGATTTGTCTTCAGTGCATTTGAATTCCCCCAGAGTCATAACAGCGTGTATATTTTCTGTAACTCCACGTTCTGTAAGACTACGGACACTAGCGACAGGTGCACGCAAATTTGTCACGGCTCGCCGTCACTTGTCGGGCGCTCACTGTGGACATTGGATTCAGAGCACGAGAAAAAATTCAAATTACCTTAATATGCTTTTAATGTATTTTCGTAATATAAATAAAATGATTAATATAACTGATTTTGTTGAATATGTAACTTGGTTGAAATTGAAAGGTTGTAATAACCAAGAAATTGGGTTCTATTCTTATATCGCTGCGGCGTCTAAATATGGATCAAAGATGTCTTTCCAAACAAATAACTGTGCACAGTTCTAATGTATTTATTTATCTTCCAGTTCACATACATGTACATCAATCTTACATATATATCCAAACATCAGTAAACCAATCAATGATCGACAAACTAAATGAATCGTCAATGAATCGTCAATAAATCTCATTCAATCGAATCGATCAAATCAATCGACACTCTGAAAGTAAACAAATTATATCAACATAAAAATAAAGTAAAATCCAGTTCCTATATCTGAAAAGCATAATTATCAATTATAAAAACATCCTTACTTAGTTGATCAATTACAAATAGATATTTGCAACACATTACACATAGGTACATTAACATATAATATAGTTATATGCTTTCTATTGGCTGGCATTAACATAAATAGTTCATTTAATGAAATTATCATAAAATACATAACATTCATGAAGAATATTCAAACTTACCAGTTTGTGGAACTGAATGTACAATTATATCATATTACATCATCTTCTCCAAAACACACATACTTCCAAACTCTCTGTGCTGTAATTTCTGCAAATTATAATAAACAAAATGTGCAAAGTGATGGGAATGAAATGTGATATTAAGTTAATAGAAAGATAGATTTACTGCTTTTTCTGAAACAATTCTCAAACCACGAAAACTAATGATATTTCAAATAAGACCACAATCATTATAATTAATTAAAAACAAATCTATGACATACACTCTTTAAAACACTGATAATAATCAAATACAACTCAAAATCATACTGACCAACTATCAATAATCCAAATTTTAAATAAATTTAAAACACTTAGAAAATGTCTGAACTTAAATTTTACAAAGCCGCTTCAACAAAGACAAAACTAGTCACATGATCAAAATTGCGGGAAACCAAGGGAAACAACTCAAACAACCAAAAATGTATCAAGACACACAAATTATCCATCCTGTTACAAATATACTTTTGGTAACCCTTATTTTATTGTAATATAGGAAAATAGAGAATCCCTAAAGGAAGCAAAATAAGACAAAATTGAAAATGTTGCCGGCTCGGTTTTATTGACCCTGCTCATTTACGCCTCATTATCAATACTGCAAGTTACCGTCCACGCTCCCTAGCACCGGCTTAAGCAAAATTAAACATTTGATCAAATAAAATGGAATTTTGAAAGGGGATGAGAGGTTATGAAGCCTGCACATCACAGACATGACGTCAAAAGATAAATCCAGATAAACATCAGCAAACTGTTTGTTCGTTTTGTAATGTGGAGACATTTTGACCATTTTCTATGCAGTTTTGGCTCTGCGTTTTTTTTATCTCCGGCTACCAAATAAGGAATTCAAGTTGCAGTAATTTTTCTCATATTAAGTAGTATTAAAACCAGAATCAAGTTTATTTATTCACTTACAGACTACTGTGTATGTAATGAGACAACGAAATGATTCCGTAAACAGACTTTATCTCGTTGAGAGTTCAACTTTGTTTGCCTCCCCATTACGCCATATGATTATTACGCCTAATTAATAGCTTTTTTTATTTAGAGCTTTAACTTTTTGCATTTTCCTCAACAATATCCGACTATCAATATCCGACCTAATACAGAATGTCTAAAACTTATTTCAAAAAGTGTTTATAATGAATGATAGTTTGATTTGCAAAAAATGTTAAAATGATAAAGAAATATTAAACCATTATGCCAAAGTAATGAAATGAGACGTAATGATAACAATACGTAAAGACTGTGAGACGTAACGCCACATCATTACTCCGAAAATTGCTCGTTACGCATCATCGTTATGCATTTTCCTCGGTAAGGTGGTTAGTTAGAAAAATGCGTAATGAGCTCGATCGGGTTCACTAAGACCAGGAAGGTTCATAGCATATTGTGTGAAAAAGAGGCGTAATATCGAAGTGAAAAAATGTGTTCCAAATTAAGGTGTTAATTAATAAGCTACATAGGGTAAAGGTAGATAAAAGAAATGAAATCAGCAAGAAAAGTTTATCCATTTTGGTCGTTAACATTTAGTGTTCTTTGATAGGTTAATATAGGTTAATATGTATTCAACTATTAATCACAGAAAACGCAAACATAAATAAAAATTGAAGGACGTTTCAATTTTAGCATAGATCTGCGTATGGTGATCACAATGAAAGCAATGTTTGAAAGCAACATGCCCTCAGATTCATGCTAATTTTCATGAAAATTTTCAAAATGTATTTAAAGGCACATTATGCTTAAAAAATATTAATGTTTTTCTTCATCAGATAGGGCAAACATGAGCTTTATAACGTTTAAATAATGGTTTTTGAGGACCTTAGATGCTAACCAGCGATGAACGCAACCGTTTCATGAATCTTTATACTTTAGGTAAAAAATGCCCCCATCTCAAATTTACATGCGGGCGAATATCTTCAAACCATATGTGATTTTATTTTGGTAAACTATACTATCATTAAAATAAATGAAAAACAGAATTGTAGAAATCTGAAACGAATATAAAGTCAGTAAGACCTGCATCGACGTTAAAAAAGAATTCTTTATATTGATTTTGAACTTACTAAAAGTCTAAATATCACAGAAACTTTGTGGAAGCTGATTCTACAAGACACATTCCTGGTAACCAAGAAACCGAGCATAGCCCTTAATATTTGGAATACAATAAAGTAGAGACCACTGTCAGAGAAGGACATATTTGATTTTGATTTATCGAAATAAATAAAATGAAAAAAAAAATAAAAAATAAATAAATAAAGCAAAAAAACCCAACCAGTGCTGTTAATGTGCTCATTCTTGTAAACCGGGGCATCATCTGAATTAAATCATCTTAATTAATTATAAATATTTAAAAACCAAAATGATTTAATGCAACGAAATATAACTTTCAGATATTGGGCTGCATGAATGGACAATGACAGAGCTTTTTTAAGGTTATGAAACGGTTGTTATTATGACATATTACGCCTTATTATTTGGTATTGCAACGTGAATGACGTTTTAATCCTTGAATTAAAGAGACGAAATGTTGATGTACAGGCGTTTTTTTTTTTTCTGAATAAAGACGCATAATGAGGAGCAAAGAGGCTGAGTGGAAAAATAGGCAAAACATCGTAAAATAAGGGTAACAATCAATATTGAAGAGTTATGTGATAAAAAAAGCGCCACGACGCTCCATCAGGCGTAATATGAGAAAATAAGCGTAATGATGAATAAAAATGCATCAAGGGAATAAAGAAGCGTAATATGAATAAAAGGGGCGTAATTATGAGTTATGAAGGGGAATGTCAAATAATGAGGCGTAATATCAATAATGAAGCGTAATGGTAAATAAAAAGGCGTAAAAGGAATAAAGTGGCGTAATATAGATAAAAGGGAGTAATAATGAGTTAAGAAGCGGAATGACAGATAATGAGGCATAATATATATAATGAAGCGTAATGGTAAATAAATAGGCGTAAAAGGAATAAAGTGGCGTAATATAGATAAAAGGGAGTAATAATGAGTTAAGAAGCGGAATGACAGATAATGAGGCATAATATATATAAATAAGCGTAATGGTAAATAAATAGGCGCAAAAGGACTGAAGTGGCGTAATATGAATAAAAGGGCATACTAATGAGTTATGAAGGGGAATGACAAATAATGAGGCGTAATATAAATAATGAAGCGTAATGGTAAATAAATAGGCGTAAAAGGAATAAAGTGGCGTAATATAAATAAAATGGCGTAATAATGAGTTATGAAGGGGAATGACAAATAATGAGGCGTAATATAAATAATTAAGCGTAATGGTAAATAAATAGGCGTAAATAGAATAAAGAGGCATAAAATTATTAAAAATGTGTAATAATGAGTTATGAAAGGAAATGAGAAATAATGAGGCATAATATAAATAAAGAATCGTAATGGCAACTAAATAAGTGTAAAAAGAATAAAGTGTCGTAATATAAATGAAATGGCGTAATAATGAGTTATGAAGGGGAATGACAAATAATTAGGCGTAATAAGAATAATTTAGCGTAATGATAAATAAATAGGCGTAAAAGGAATAAAGTGGCGTAATATGGATAAAAGGGCGTAATAATGAGTTATGAAGGGGAGTGTCAAATAATGAGGCGTAATATATATAATGTAGTGTAATGGTAAATAAAAAGGCGTGAAAGGAATAAAGTAGCGTAATATAAATAAAAGGCGTACTGATGAATGATAACACGTTATGACAAATACACAAGCGGAATGATGAGTCAAAAGAGGTAATGGCTAATAATGAGGTGCAATGATGAATAAAGCAGCGTTATTGTAGAATATTAGGCGTAATATTAGACATTAGGCGTAATGATGAGAATAAACACATAATGATAAACACAGAAGCGCATTTTAGAAAAATCAGCGTAATACATGTATTTGTAAAACAAAAACATCATCATCAGATGAATCAGGCGCAGGATGTCATAGAGTGTATGCATCATGGCCATCGAAATCAGTCAAAATCATTGCCTGTCATGTTTCTTCTAGTATATTATATATTCCGTTCATAGAATGACAAAAACGTGAAAAGTCGGGGCATTCATGTCCTATGGAACAATTTCTATTTTAACTTTGATTTTGTCTTACTTGTGATGTAGCCATTGAGTTTTTTAATAAGAACACCTACTTCTAGTCTAGTCCATCTCTTACGTAATATACATTGTGCAAAGAGTAAAAAAAACCTTTCCTCCCATTAAATGACTACGACATAGCAACATCTGATAAACTTTGTAGAGCAATAACTCCTTCACAGCAATGGTAATAGTTCTTCCAAAAGTTAGACTTAATGAGATAGTTTACCCCCTATAAAGCAACACCTCTCATCAACAACCAAATTCCTTGTCTCCAAATAGGTGATACTGTGCAGAGGCTATACTATAGTTGTTTTTTTTTCATTATACACGAAATCTCGGTTAAATAAAAGTCTAAGCAATATGCAGTGGATTTGGTAGTTAGATTTATAGTCATACATTTCAACCCCAGTACAAAGTAAAAAAATGTACCATTTTCTAATATCAAAATTGGTTTATAATTCTCCATACGGTAGAAACTCCTCTTAAAACCATCCTGGAAATAAGACCACCCCGCCATTAAGATTAATGAAGTGCATTTTAATGCAGAATCTGAGTACAGCCTTAACCTTGAGTAATCAAGATCGACAAATATCAGAACAGAACAGAACAAATTTTATTTAACAATATGATTTGAACATTACAGTTCCTCGTCATTACACATATTATATACAGCATACATTTAAATACAGCTAGAGTGAAAAATATAAACATACATAAAATATTTGGTAATATCAGTCATATACATTATTCATAAATTCCTTTCTGATACTAAATGGTTTATTACAAAATATTGCTAATTTATTCATAGTATTTGTATTACATTGTACATGTATTTTAAAGATCAATAAATTTAAGCATGGTTACTTGGATGTAAAGATATCTGGCAAAAGGATTGACCCTCAAGTTCTCTCAACATAAACAAGGGTCTTCGCTTGCCCATCCTATGTTCAGGAGGTAGTCCTTCACAAAAAAATAAACCGTTATGGCTAATAAAAAAGCGTAATGTTATTAAATGAGGCGTGATGTTGAATACTGAGACATGTAAGTGCCTTTAGGCGTAATGGGAAATATTTAAGCGTAATGGTTAATAATGAGTTATGAATTGAATGAAAAGGTGTTATAACAGATTATGTGGCGTGATGGTGATAAAGAGGCACAAGAACAAATAATGTGGCGTAATAGTGAATTATGAAAAGTAATGGCTAATAAGGAGGCATAATGGTGAAATAGTATCCAAAATGTTAAATACTTTGGTGTATTATTGAGTAAATATTATAAACGTGAATAATGAGGCAAAATGTGTGATTCATTAGGTGTAATGAGTAAAGAGAAAAATTGTAATTATAGAAAGGGTAATAAGCGTAAAATAAGATAAAAAGGAGAAATCGTGAAAAATAATTGAGCCGCGTCATGACAAAACCAACATAATGGGTTTGCGACCAGCATTGATCCAGACCAGCCTGCGCATCCGCGCAGTCTGATCAGGATCCATGTTGTTCCCTTACAAACCTATAACAAGTAGAGAAACTGATAGCGAACAGCATGGATCCTGATCAGACTGCGCGGATGCGCAGGCTGGTCTGGATTTATGCTGGTCCAAACGCACTACGATATGGTTTTGTCGTGACGCGGCTCATATGTAGAAAAGAGTAATGTGAGAAAAAAGGCGTGATGGTGAGTTATTATGTTACCTTATGACAAGGTGTAATAATGAATAGGCGTTACGATGAACGGGCATTATCGTACAATATACTTTAAAACATGTTCTTAAGACAAAGATTAAACGATTTTTATTATTTGCCCGTTTCTATACAATACTTTTGCAACACCTCTCTGGGGAACAAAAATCTCATCATCACCATTTTTATCATTTCTGAAATGTCTAAGTCTCAACCAGAACGTTGACATAAAGATTACGCTAAATGATCAGAAAAAACATTAACAGCAGATGCTTAATGAGCACAGACTAGACCACAATTGAGGCATAATTTAACATAAGAAAGTGTGTACTTAAGCGTAAATGTTTTGGTTAAACAAATGTTTAAATATTTCTTTGTCCTGACAATGTATTATGTTTTGAATATCAAAATCATATTATCAACATTGTCATTGGTTGAAATTCCTTTAACTTTGACTACTTGGGTAATTGTTCTTTGAAAATTCATAAAGAAAAACCATCATTACGACTGATTATCATTACGACTAATTTTCATTACGCCTGATTATAATTTCGCTTCATTAGAATTACATCGCCTGATTATCATTACGCCTGATTATCATTGCGCCTGATTATCATCACGCCTGATTATCATTACACTACATCAACACACTTTATAATTATAATGCAATAATACTTTAGCCCTCACCATAACTCCTAACTGGAATGGCTATGAATGTGGTTTATTATTAATGCCAATAAAATATTCTGTTCTGTTTAATCAACATTTTCATCACCATTGTCATAAGTAGCGGCAGGCCGAGTTGTTAATTAACGTGTCGGGGAAAAAATAAAGAATCACTGTTTGCCTGGGTTCAAACACAGTCGAGGGGCAATCCGTTGTTATCTTGAGCAAGAATTCTTACTTTCATTTCTTAGTACTTGTTACTTCCAAGAACTAATTTGGGAGTGTTGTGCTGACACAATAGCTTCCAATACAATCGAACTAAAACAAATTCGTATAAATGCGTAAGTATAAATTAAAAATAATGCTTACTGCGTGTGTTAGACAAGCAATTGATTACTTGAGCATAAAACTGCACACGTATTGCTCAGTACTGGTTGGTTCCAAGAACAAGTTTAAGAGTGCATTTATAAACTGATTAACAATCACACTAAGATAATTTCTGTATTAACTATCATTCTCGTTATTACACCTTATCATAACACCATATCAACATTACACCTTATTACCATTACGCCTTATCATAACGACATATCAACATTACACCTTATTACCATTACGCCTTATCATAACGACATATCACCATTACGCCTTATCACCATTACGCCTTTTCATAACGCCATGTCAACATTACACCTTATCACCTTTATGTCTTTTCATAACGCCATGTCACCATTACGCCTTATCACCATTACGCCTTTTCATAATGCCATGTCAACATTATGCCTTATTACCTTTACGCCTTTTCACATAACGCCGTGTCAACATTACGCCTTATTACCATTATGAATCACCATTATGCCACCAATTTTATCTCATCTTTCCGTCAGAACGCAACAACGTAATGGTATTTTTCTTGAATAATCACATCAACATCATACTGCCTTAGCATTATTTAACACATAATAAAGAAAGTATGTTGTAATGAGGCGTAAGCAGAACGTAATATGCGAAATGGGGTAATAATAAAGCGCAGTGAAAAGGGTATTTTAAGCAAATTGAGTAAAATAACTGATAATGTATACTTTGGCTAAATTATTTATCAAATTGATATTACTATGCGCTTTATCTTAAGTAGATTATAACATATCACCTACCTCATTTTGTCTTTTTTCGTCATCTTACGGAAGCTTCAAAGGGTCACCTCTTATGCGATCTTTTGTGAGAAGATTTACGCTATTCGAAAAAATATAAGGCGCGAAGGCATGATATTTTTAGTGTTTTCTCAAAAAATAACTCGAATAAACAAGAAAAATTGAGTTAATTGGCCAAATTTTTTCTTGCAAAAAAAGAAGCATTGCACATGACGAGTACTTTTTTGACGAGAAATTAATAAAAGTTGTTTTTCGAAAAAAATGTAGACGCAATATGTGAAAGATTTCACTTTCTCGATAAAAATTATGACGCAATACCTAATACATTACACCTTGTCGAAAAAACATTTAATGCATTACCCTAATACATTTCATTTGATGAAAAAATGTTTTCACAATGCTTAAAGTGTAGTCCGCTTTTCGTTATATTTTTGTCGACATCATCTTACCTTGTCACACAATAGTGACATTCAGGCATATTTTACTACAGAAGGCAGCATATTTATCGAAGTCATGGAGAAAGTTTTAACAGTATTGGTATGTTATTATTGTCATTATTATCATTAATATTACTATTATTAGTAGCACTAGCAGTAGAAGGAGTGGCGGCGATAGTTGTAGCATCAGAGAAGAAGCAGCAGCAGCAAAAGCAGCTTGTTACTGTAGAAGTAGTAGCAGTCGTAGTAGGTACTTGTAGAGGTACACGCTTTAATAGATTCATTTATTCAGCTTTTCGTGTAGCTTAATGTATAGTCTGTGGTTAACAGACACTTTTCGTCCGTTGTCCATCGTCTGTAAACAACGTTGACGTTACCCCTCTAGCGTTTTCATTTTTGCTTTGATTTTGACCAGAAGTTGTATCTTAATGTAAGCTAGATCAAGATAGAAAATGGGTTATTTCGGGTGAAATTCAGGGTAACAGTGACTTAAGAAATAACAAAAATGATAAAAAATAGCAATTTGGCACACAATCCAAACACCATATGCATTAGGGGTACGGAACCTATGCTATAATAACCACCAATAGGTAATCTTGGAAACATGTCATTTTGGTCTGGCTTGCTTTTTGACTATTTGAGTAATCTGCCATTGAAGTGGTAAAAATGGCTCAAAATTTTATTTTGAGCTTCTAGTCACTCTAGTGTTGTTATTGTTTCTACACACCTTTACAAATGGCCAAAATATTTATGAACATGAGTCCTAGGAATATCGGAAAAAGAACAACCTGGGGTGGTTGTCTCGAAAAATTATCGTATCGTAAAGTTGTGACAAAACTTACGATATTGCTACGATATAACTAAGATGTCCTTATTTCTTCCTTATTTTGGAAGAGCACCTTAACAATCTCGTTTCTCAAACGTTATTTACGACATCGTATATGCAAAGGTGACTTTGTGTAGTTCAAACATAGCACGGTTTTCATATTGATGCATAGATTTTTTGTAGTATTTCACATCATAGTTGAAATTAGTTCAGAAAAAAATGGCGGAATCAAGAAAAAGGAGACCAAACTTTTCTACAAATGAACTTGAGGTTCTTGCAAGAGAGGTGAGTGAGAGCAAATCACTTCTTTTCAGCAAATTTTCTGACATTATCACAAATGAAAAGAAAACAAAAAAATGGGTTCAAATAACAGCAAAAATTAATTCAGTTTCGTCCTGTGAAAGAAGTTGCACAGAAGTAAGAAAGAAGTGGAGTGATTGGTCATCCGCTATTAAATCTAAGGGAGCTAAAATAAAGCAAAGTCAACAAAGGACTGGTGGCGTGAGCAGAGACACATCCCCGTTAAGTCCTTTATAAGAAATTGTTTTAGATAAAATTGGTGTTACAGCTATCGAGGGTATTGTTGGTGGACGAGACTCGGTCGTTTATCCTGAAAGCAACGAGATGAATAGTGCAAACAACACCTCGCAAAGTAACAACTATCTGGCTGAATTGGATGATGACAGTGACAGTTCCGTTCAGTTTGTACATGTTGGGGATTCAACCCCAAAACCGCTCAAACTAATAGAACTTACTCCATCCATGAACACCAACTGCATGTAACGCCTTGACAGAGGGTGCTCATAGCGACATTATAGATTTGGAGCGGGAGAAATTGGTAATAAAGAGGCAACGTCTTGAGATTGAACAAATCAGGCTCGACATAGAACGGGAGCGCTTAGGTGTTGAGAAAGACATTTTAGCATCTTTAACTGACCTTCTTTCTCGTCTTCGAGGAAATCATCAAGAACAGACTGGAGAAGAGGAATCCACATTTTACATGAACCTGTAATGTTTGGTATCTTTATGTGTAAATACTGTCTGTAGTTTTAACTATTTTCTCACATTAAAAATTATATATTGCATAATCATGGAAAGCAAATCATTTTTTATTTAATGCATGAAACGTGAAAAAAATAGCAATTTTAACTGCGCGTTATACAAACGCACTTAAATATGACGGATGTTCGAACGTTGCTGCACAAACACAAGTATTTCAAGTTAATTGTCACTATTGCGGTGAAATATTTTTTACCTATTTAAGAAAAAAAAAGATATTTGAATTGATATGAAAAAATGCCATAAAAACAAAACTAACAATTACTAGTATTTTTCATATAAATTAAAGTTAATGGAATCATGAAAATTAAAGCGCACGCCAAGTCAAGTTCGACAAAGCTATTTTAGTCATCGTTTGAGTGACGGCATGTGAGTGATATTGATTTTATTTCACTGATAAAAATCAGTAGTTATCATTTAATAAATACAACATATTTTTCTTCAATTTAATGCCTAAAAAGTGTACGTACGTACGTATAGAAAATTACGTCAGACGTTCAACGGCTGCGCGAACGCTTTACAAACAAAAGTAATTCAAGTTCATAGTCACAATAATAATTATTGTGACGTAATTATTAACTGTT